CCATATAAAGAAAATGTGTTTAATATTAATTTTAGAATCGTTTTCATATTATTTCAAATATCAATTTTGGTTGATTCAAAAATTTTTGCGTATTTATTAGTCTACTTCAAACTGTAATATCTCAATAAATCGAAATAAGAGTAATTTGAATCAGCGCACTTTTGCCAACGTAACACACGTCGATTAACTTTGTCAGCATAAAAACTGGGTACTCGGGATTCGATGAAGTGAGAAAATTATCGAAGTGCTTGAAAAAATGGACCCTCATGTGATGGTTTGGTTCGGTTGCTGAAAGTAATAGTAAATAACACTAGCTGCTGACCACCATAAAGTAACCATAGTGTTTTTGTTGGGTTTTCGCCTTTGGGAAAAGCCTGGGTGGTTCATCAGTGTCCAACCACTGTCCTGAACAAGTCCTGTCGTAGAGGATCCACTTTTCATCACATGTGACAATCCGATTCAAAAAAGATCTCGTTTTGGTTGCGAAAAGCAAAGAAGAACAGATCTTGAAATCGTGGAAGACCCACTTTTCAAGCTAATTAACATTTCCAATATGTTTTAGACCATCAAAAAACACATGGGGGCTATTTTCTTTGGTACCTTTCAACGTGTTAGGAATCATGGCATTTAATATTGATTCATCACACCTACTTTAAATGTTTTTGTATGTGTCCCTTTCAGCCCCAAATGTGCCCCTTTCAATCCAGTGAGATGTGTTGAAAGGGACAAATACAGTGGTTCATATTTTTCTAATTTTTTCAATAACAATTAATTTTTTTATGTTTTTCATACTCAAAATCCTTTTCCAAATGTTGTACCAATTATAATATCAGATTCAATAAATGTAAAATTCATTGATATTGCTTGTATACATATTTACCCTAAAAATGCCCCTTTCATGCTACCTCTCCCCTACATCTACCCCTCAGAGCAAATAATAAAACTTCTTGAAAAAAACAGCAAAATGATGACTTTCATAATGTTTTTCTTATCAGAGGAATGGAAGAAGTGGCTTCTATCAGAGCGAAAATTTCAGAAGTTCACTAAATACTCTGTCCTTTCCTTGCTTGTACGGCTTCTTCATTAATTTGAAATGCATATATCTGCGCTTGTCTCTAGCTCAACTTGTTTGCATTTCTCATGCACTTCAACTATTCCGAAGCTGCAATTAGAAATTTCCGACTCTAATGCAGCTATTTCACCAGCTCCCAATTACAACTAATGATATCGTGATATCTCGTTTTCTTTCGAGCCACTGGTATTTTCAAAATTTGTCCTTAAAAGTCTTTTGGAGCTAAACCAAATTCTTTCAGCATTCTTACCCGTAGAATTTGGTGAATGTCTGCCTGAAAACTACTTTCCTGGCTAGTTTCGGCAGCGCTTTGGTTCTATTAGAATTCGTATAGAGAAATTAGCCGAAAACAGCTAATCTGAATCATAAAGTAATAAGCTGAAGAGAGTCAAAAAATTAAAATAAAAAAAATCAACAGCATTAATGTATAGAGTACAAAATTCTCCACCGATCATAATAAATCACGACATAGTTGAATAAATATTTATTGCGATATGGAGCTACAAAAACACATTACATTAAAACGGACAAAACTTTGGAAACAACCTAAATTTATTGTTGAATGTCAGGCTTTCGTATAAGAAAAAACGGACCCTTTGAAAAAACATAACTAAAAAAACAACAAAAATACTTCTTCCTCACACCATAACTTTATCATAAAAAATAAAGTTCTCTCACTGTGTAAAGTGCAAATCGTTCAAAAAGACAATTGGTACAATGTGTACCTACCATTAGACTGGAGGATTTCAGTGAATTACTCATTTTGTACATCAAAATTGAAAAGGAGTATATTATTACCAGTATGTTATTATAACAGCGACAAAAATACATACCCATCAATGACTACCAAGGTAACCAATGTACTTGTCTCTTGTTCACAACATCGACACCAGAGGGAGTATTGCTTATTTTGAATTCTCTATCAGAAGAATATGTTCCGAAAGTTTGAGAATATGTAATTACAGTAATTCCCCTTACCATGAAATTAAGATTGTTTGAAAGTGAAATCAAGTATTAGCTTCCATGGTCAAATATGAATTTTCTGTATAACAGTATCTAAAGTTCTGTTTGTTGGCATCTTGGCTTCTATTTGGCATAATTTTGCAAAATTCCTGTCAACGATCAGTGTTATGTTCATTAAGTTCTTGAGCCATGTGAATTGTACATGAATAGAAGTTTTCTTTTTTTTTGTAGAAAGATTATATACATTTTACTAATGTCGTTATCAGCGGTAATTGGTCTTGTAATTTCGATGTATTACGTTGAGTTGACGAGGCGAGGGAAGAGTTTTTTCAATGGAGTTTTTCAGCATTTTACCCATAAGTTACGTATTAGTTAAGGACCTCACTGTATAAGTTACTGACTTTTCCAGATTGCTGATCTCATTTCCTACCGGATATCGTTATTTATTTGCGAACCAACGTAAAAATGCGCCAAAGATATTCATCTTCAAATTGTTTTTCCGTTATTCAATATTTGTTTCTCCTTTACTGTTGTAACCTATACGGGTATCCACATCTGTGTAATTTTAAATAAACATTGAATACGAATTGCGCTTATTGCACTTTTTCAGTATAAACACTTCGAGGTGGACACTTTATTATTGAAGAAAGGTACTTTTGTCAGCAACGTCTTTGTTTTGTTCGAGTATTGAACTGTGTTGTCAAGTTTCCATATTAGAAGAGATATTCCCACTACAAGAAAATTCATCATCCAAATACGATGTTCGGAAATATAAGAACTACTCAAGTCAAATTGTGAAATGAAACTAGTCCCGTAGTTGTCTTTCATAATACAAATCGTTGTGGTTTGGAATGCTTCACGTTTGAGAAAGTATTTTATTTCACATATTCATCAGTTTCTCCGGTGTATATTCCCATAAATTCATAATCAAAAAACTCAAAAAACATCCCAAAACAATAAATATAACCTTGTTTTTTATTCAACTGTAAAAATCGGCTGTTAACTGTTTTATGTTTCATTTGTTGAACACACTAGCGCCCTCTTCGTTGAACTTTTTCCCATTGGCAAATCGACCGCGGTACAATTTCTTTACAAATGATGACATCAAGCAAGAAGTCAGCAGCTGATGTGAGTGGACTTAGCAGAGACACCTCGCGGCCGAGCTTTTTCGGGTTTGAAGGCCGTCGATATTTGGAATTTCTTCCTGACGTTTCGCTGGCGCGAGTAGCTAACTTCTTCAGAAGTTTATACATCTTGAGTTATCTCTGATGAATGGATATTACGGTTGGGTAAAGCGTATTTATGCTGACTCAGGTAGTTTGGTATGCTAATACTTTTATCTGGATTAGGTTAACTGCGTGAAACGTGTTTATGTTGACTCAGGTAGTTTGGTGTGCTAATACCTGTACCTGGATTAGGTAAATTGTGTAAAGCATGTTCGTGTTGACTCAGGTAGTTTGGCGTGCTATTACCTTATATGGATTAGGTAAATTGCGTAAACGGTGTTGACTCACGCAGTTTGCCGGGCTATTACCTTTATCTGGATTAGGTTAACTGCGTGAAACGTGTTTATTTTGACCCAGGTAGTTTGGTGTGCTAATACCTGTAAATTGAGTAAAGCATGTTCGTGTCGACTCAGGTAGTTTGGTGTGCTAATACCTGTACCTGGATTAGGTAAATTGCGTAAAGCATGTTCGTGTTAACTCAGGTAGTTTGTTGTGCTAATACCGTTATCTGGAATTGGTTAATAGCGTGAAACGTGTTTATGTTGACTCAGGTAGTTTGGTGTGCTAATACCTGTACCTGGATTAGGTAAATTGCGTAAAGCATGTTCGTGTTAACTCAGGTAGTTTGTTGTGCTAATACCTTTATCTGGAATTGGTTAATAGCGTGAAACGTGTTTATGTTGACTCAGGTAGTTTGGTGTGCTAATACCTGTACCTGGATTAAGTAAATTGTGTAACGCATGTTCGTGTTGACTCGGGTAGTTTGGTGTGCTAATACCTGTACCTGGATAAGGTAAATTGTGTAAAGCATGTTCGTGTTGACTCAGGTAGTTTGTTGTGCCAATACCTTCATCTGGAATAGGTTGATAGCGTGAAGCGTGTATATGTTGACTCAGGTAGTTTGGTGTGTTGTATTTCCAAATTTCATTTGGAAATATTCATTTTCTTATATAATTGGTAATCAATCAATGAAACACGATATAACTCAAAACAATTTTTGATCGTTTTCCTCAAACCGAGATAATATTTGGTTAGTAAATTTAATACTTGTCATGCACTGTTTGGAACCTTTGATGTAGTAATGAATATTACTGGAGTTGTATCCCAACAACAAACCATTATTTTCAACACCTCGACACGTGTTTCGATCACCAAGTGTTTTTTTTTTCAAGAGGAAGATTAAGCGATTCAAGCAATTGAATGTGTGTAGTATATACCAGATAAGACAACCATATTATAAATGGGATCTAACAAATGAATAGTAAATTTAAATTAATGATAGGAGTTCGCTTACGAGATACAAGTAGTTCCGATAAGAAGAAACTATCCCCAACTATTTTTTGGCAATCTAAAAATGTTTCTCTCAACTTCTACGTAAAATAATTGTAGGAATCCAAATATCCCATAGAAATCTCTAATTCTACTTAGTAAAATCACAATTGTACTTGAAGAACATGCTCTCAAAAACGAGTTATTCACAGAAAAAATAAATTTTTGAAATTAAAAAGAAAAAAAGTATTATATTGTTGCAAAATGGATTTTGTTAATAAATTTCATTTGAATATTTTGATGGGAATATAACCATTATATGTTCTTTAGATCTTATATGAGATCAAAAGTTGCAATTTTTTATTCTAGAAATAGTTGAAGATGACCTCAACTTGGCAACCGCGCAATGAATTCAAATGTGTTTACACCTTCTGGGGATCCCAAACTGAGATGAATATTCAAGCACTAACTTTGCGCGAACACTTTCAAATAAAGTGACAAACGGTTTTCTCTTCATCGTATAGGTGCATCTTTTTTATGTGACAAATATATCGTTAATGAATTAAAAATGAAATATATCCTTGTAACTGGTGGTGTTATAAGCGGTGTTGGCAAAGGTGTTATAGCCAGTTCCATTGGAGCGATATTAAAATGTTGCGGAATTGAAGTTACCGCTATTAAAATTGATCCTTACCTCAACATTGATGCAGGAACTTTTTCTCCATATGAACATGGTGAGAAATGAAATATTACTATCATTTTTATTGTGGGTAATTTTAAAATACTAAAATCTTATTTAAACAATAACTTATTCGTATTTAGTGATGAGTACATTTTCCACATAAGATCTTCAGCGCACTCAAAATAGACTTCACTATTTTGTTGCGAGTTCAGTCCTAGAAAGTGTTATAGCCTGAGAAAATTGATTATGGATTCTAGACTACTATCATTTTGAATTTCAAAGGTCGATTTTTAATAAAATGTTACAATAACAGGAGCTGCCGGCAATTAATCTGATGTCCGGCCTTTTCCCACCATGTTAAATATTTTTTTCTTTTTTCGTAATTCATTTCAGTTAATTATGATGGGAAATGAAGACCTTCATTATTATAACTATTATTATTAGCCGGTAGCCGTTCGGTTCGACGTGGGTGCTTTGTTCGCTCACTCGCCGTCGTGTTAGTCGGTGGTTCAAGCCCCAGGCTGAACGATCGATTTTCACTTGCTATCGTTCCACCCGTGTTAGGAATCATATGTTTAAAGGTAAGACCTAGTTAGTCCTTAGCTCGCTCAAGTTTATACTCCTGAAGGTTGTCGTTCGTGGGGTGCAACAGCTGGTTAACGGAAAAACAGATTTTCAAATAGATTATCATTTTTTTACTGTAGTATGCGCTGGTCAGGCCCTATTCCCCGAAGCCCCGATACATTCGGGAGGGCGCGCCAGCATTATCAACCAACGACCACTCCCCACACCGTGGGGATCTGATCATTGGGTCTGAGAAGCATGTGCCCTGAGCAAGCGCAGTAAGCCAAGAATGACAGCTTTCTGCATCTGTCTGGCTGAGATTTCTGCCTTAGTGTGGCAAGCCGGTATGATTTTAAGATTCGAGTGTAGAAAGGGCATCATTCCACCCAGGACCCCAATAATCAGAATAACCATCTTGACAAAGTGGTCTGGATAGAGTCTGCGGAGTTCAAAGAGAAAATCTCGATATTTTATCCATTTTTTCTCCTCTTTTCGGACGATATTCGTGTCGCCAAGAGTGAAAACTCCACGACATATATCGTCTTGCTCTGGTGGTCGAGAAGGACTATATTAGACTTAGGAATAGGTTAATAGCGTGAAACGTGTTTATGTTGACTCAGGTAGTTTGGTGTGCTAATACCTGTACCTGGATTAAGTAAATTGTGTAAACGTGTTTATGTTGACTCAGGTAGTTTGGTGTGCTAATACCTGTACCTGGATTAAAAAATATAATTTTTAGAATTTTGTCTGTTTGTCTGTACGTTTATGCGGAGTAATGACAAAAATTAAATTTCCGATTTCGGTGTAGTTTTAACCAATGGATCATGGTAAGTTTCAGTTGATATTTAGTGTTGATTTGTTACAATCATTTCATAAATAAAAAAAAACAATTCCGTACGTCAAACATCTGTTGGGGGAAAACAATCATTAAACGGTTTGTCTCAAACTTTGGTTTCTATACTTCCTAAAAAGATTTTTTGTAAGTCAAAGATAAGCAGATTCATGAGAACATTTTGCTGTTAGAAAATCTGGAAAACCCAAAAACTGATATTAACGCAATGCGAAGTAATGAATATAAATGTTGAAAAAGAACAAAAATTGATTGTAAAAAAATAGGTATTTAAAACCTAGCTACTTCACGACGTTACGATTCCATTATAATTTTTGTACTACAATCTATATTAATCAATTTGGGTTTTTTATCAAATCAATAGTGAAATTTCTTTTTTCTTATTCTCATACAAACGTTTCAACTTCAGGTGAAGTCTACGTCTTGGATGATGGAGGAGAAGTTGATTTAGATTTAGGAAATTACGAACGCTTCTTGAACGTAACCCTACATAGAGAAAACAATATCACCACAGGAAAGATATATCAACAAGTTATTGATCGTGAAAGACACGGTGACTTCATGGGAAAAACTGTACAAGGTAGGTAATGAAATATCCTTTATTGAAAATTCTGAAATTGTTAAACCAGAAAAATGGTGTATTGTCTGATAATGATTGAACTATGAGATGCGCAAATGTTTGTCTACAGAGTGTTAAAATACAATAGTACAGTTAGCATATGTGATAAATTTCAAATTTTGAAAATAATGTGAGTTAGCCTAGTGTAAAGTATTTCTGACCATTTCCAAAAACTTTAAACTTTTGTTTGCGAAAGATTACCTAACTAAGGTTTGAAAATAATACAAAATATACCACACACAATAATTTATATGAAGTCAAATAAATTATTAATGATTCATGATCATTTATTCACTGAAGTAGACTGATTTCTGTATTCTGTACATCGTATTTTCATTCTAAAAAAGTGAAATTGAATACATTATTTTGCTTGGTAGTAGCTAATCTTTCAACTATTGCACAAAAAGTTGGAAAAAATGAGCAAAGCTATTGGAGGAACTCAAAAATAACATACAGAAAACAACCTCAGAAGTCGAAACCTGTGCAAGCTAAGGAGGTCTTACCTTTCAACGTGCGATTCCTAGCACGGTATGTAAATGAATAAAATATTTTACCACAAGTAATTTCTGGAACAAAAATGGTTCAGTTATGTAAAAACTAATGTATTGAGAGAAATGTCATCGAGGCAACCCAAAAAAGCATTCAAAAATATTTCCTATTTTCCTATGAGAAATTGGTATGACATAAAGCTATTCAAGTTTTCAATTACTTACATTTCGTTATAGTTTTGATAACTTGTTTTCAATAGATTACAAACATCTGGTGGGATACATTCGTTTCCACCAAGTTTCTCCTACGTGTCGGTAGAAACTTCATTAATATTTTTAGAGCATAATTTTCGATTCTCAATTTACTTTTATTTGAATTCTTACATTTGTTTTCATTAATTTGAATTTTATTCTGCATAGGTAATATGCCAAACCTACACTAAGGTTTATTTTCAAAAATCGAAAGATATATTTTCATATTCAAGTCCAATTTTAAATTTGTTTCTTAAGAAGCTACGAAAATACAACAGGTCCGCTGAGCGTTCTAATACATTTTTCAATTTTTTTTCTGATATTATTGCCCACTCTCTAGAATACTCATTTCACGGCAGGCTTGCCGTGTTCTCTCACAAAGTTCTCGTCGATTTCCATTGTAGTTAGGAGAGCGAGGAGACCATTATTCATATGGACTATTTCTACCTATCAAACGTTATGGAAAATGTTCGTTTAACCACTCTCGAACCATCCAGGAATTATGAACGGAAGCTCCGTCTACCCGAAAGTACATCTCTTGTCGCAAACTGAAGGATATATTTTCAATTATTTCCCACAATTGATTATCAAAAAAGTTCAATAGTCGTTCAGCATCAATGGTATTACCGAAGAAAAACGGCCCAATTATTTTGTCGCCTGAAATACCACACTAGTCCAGTCATTTTAGGGGGTTTGCCTAAGAAAGTGGACATATCTAGCTGTAAATTCGTATTAACTTTGTAGTTTGGCATCATAAAAGTATTCTCAAAATTCAAATATGATTCGACGGCCGCAACTTCAAAAATTTGGGGTCAAAAGTCAAAAAAAACGACTTTTTGTAGGTTTTTTGCCAATATCTCGTTTCCAATAGGTTATATGCTAATTATATTCATTATCAATATTGTAGAGAATTAAAGGGCAGCGCGAGCGCAGATTAAATATTATTTGAAATCAGCTGGTTATCCCGATCGAAATCAGCTCAAAGTTTATACGAATTTACAGGGCATGTCAACTTTCCGAAATACAGGCCTAAATCGACCTAAAATGACTGGACAACACCATACATTAATTTTTGAGAGAATTGGTCCTTACAGTTCATAACCCAGTGGATTTATGACCCACTTCCGGTTTGAGTGAAAAGTTTATGCTACTTTGAGCACCATGACCAAATAACCAATGGGCATTTTGTTACTGTTTTTGATGAATTTACTTTCAAACTGACATTTGGGGTATAAATAGTTCATTCGTTTCCATGATGACAATCTAGCCCAAATTGAAAACTGTTGAAACACAAAATATGAGACTGCTTTGAAACATTGACAAACTAACAAATTCGCAACCAATCATATACAACAGGAAATTGAAAAATTTCTCAAAATTGAAGACAGGCTATTAAACGAGACTAAATTCGATTAACGTACATTTGATAAGAGACAGAAATGATAATTTTCAATTTTAGTTATTTTGATACGATTATTTCATTTATTTTTACTATTTTATAATTTCTGTAGCTTCTTATTCGAAATCATTAGTTGAAAATCGGACGGTATCATCAGCGCGAAGCAAAATATCGAGAATTTACCCTTTTCGCGGAATCGCAGTAGGCTAGCTAGGTTTAAGGCTGTCACAAAAATGTTTGAGATGCAAAATGATTTCACCGAAGTGTTATTTCCATATTAAAAACGATAAACTTCTTCTCCGACAGTTCTGATGACCAGAGCATGCGTGTTGTTGTAACAAATACGTTGCGCTAATGGTGGTAGGTTCTAGGCAATTTTTTCACCAATAAGTACTCGGCCTATGTAAATCAGTTCTTTCATCTGAGGTTATCGATTTCGAAGCTTCTAAATGCCTCATGACTGGCGTATGTTAAAAAAAGTCCATCCTGAAAGAAGGAGTATCTTCAACAGTCAAGGCAACGCTGCTTGGTGGTCAGCAGTACGCCTTGGCTCTAAGCACCCTTTCACACGGGGAGCTTCGCGTCTCTCGCTCCCGAGAGACAGAAAGACGCAAAAATGCAACAAGTCCAATGGAGCTTTCAGACGAAGAGCGGGAGCCGCCCCATCTCAAGAGACGAGAGCTCTGACGTCTCCTGCGCCTCGAGCCGGGAATTCACGTCTCCTTCTCAAAGAAATGAGTGCGGTCTTTCACACGAAGAGTGATAACGGCTCTCCCTAGTTGAGCTCAATGAGCCAGGAACTAAGAAGGCTCCCGGTGTGAATGGGCGGTAGGTAAGGACTCTTTCACACGGGGAGCTTCACGTCTCTCTTTTCTATACGGGGGCGTTCATCATTCCTTCCCACCGCCCAGCGGCGGCTCGTCAAAGGAGGCAAGGGAGGCTTAGCCTCCTCATAAAGTTTGAGGCTATTCATCGCAATAAATTAAAATATATTGACAAATAATTATGATTATTTTTGCGTTTGCTTTTTATTTAATTATTCGGATGCCGTGACCGACCGGGACTGAAAATATTTCGGTAAATCGTTTTAGTGTTTCTTAATAATATTTGTTATTTATGTATAAAACAGGCAGTAATGTATTATAGCAGTGCTTTTTGGTGATACTTTTAATGTGTTTTTAAAGTGTTTTCTTTCAATTTCAAGGTGTTTTCAGGTTTTCACTTTTCGGTAAGTTTTTTCATTTATTATGGAAAAGTTGGACGAAACTGAAAAATCTGACGATATAGTCGATTGGTTGCTGACAAATAATTTTAAGTCTTTATCTTATGATAATAAATTTTACATTATTAAAACACTGGAAAGGCCTCAACCAAATTTGATTTCAATTAAAGCGTCAGATAATCGACAAAATCGAAGATTTAATATTAGTTGGTACGATAAATGCAATTGGTTAACCGGCTCCATTAAACGAGAAAAACTGTTTTGTTGGCCCTGTGTTTTATTTTCCATACAAACCGAATACCAAACGTAGTATAAAATAGGATACTCCGATTTAAAAAATTTACCTCGTTCTACAGAAAGACATTTTAAATCTAAGGAGCATAAATTTTCGTCTTGTAAATTAAAATTGTTTAGCAAACAAAATATAGCAACAGCTTCAGATACAGCTGAAAAAGAAGCCATAATTTCTTTCAATAATCAGGTTAGGGAAAATCGGTCGAATTTAAAAAGACTTATCGATATTACGATTTATTTGGGTTCCCAAGAATTAGCTTTTCGCGGACAGGATGAAACCGAAGATTCGATTAATCGCGGCAATTACAAGGAACTTTTAATGTTATGGGGCAAATATGATTCACAATTTGGCACTTTTTTAAATGGTAGCGTTTTTTCGGGCACCTCAAAAACCATCCAAAAAGAGCTTATAGACAGTGTGGCATATATTATTAAGGAAAATATAAGCAAGGAGATTGAAATTGTTTCATTTTTTGTCTGGGAAATTGATTAAAATACCGATATTCCGTGTACATCATAACTTTCAATCGTTTTTAGATATGTCAAAGATGGTAAAATGTGGTACAACGTTTTATGTGTTTTCATGATGTTTCATCTGGGCGCACAGCTGACGATTTTTTTAATTTTATAATTCGTACGTGTCACCTATAATTTTAGGCAAAAGTTAATTGCGCAAACCTATGATGGGGCTGCGGTCATGGCCGACCATTTAAATGGTTCACAAACTGAAATAAAGTCCATAGCTTTTCATGCACTTTTCACACATTATCATGCCCATGCCCTAAATTTAGTATTAAGCAAAGCGTGTAACAACATAAAAGATTGCCGCGTATTTTTTTCAAGTTTGTCTGGATTTTCGGCATTCTTTTCAAAATCCACCAAAAGAAGCCATGTTTTAAATGAAATATGTGGTAGCCGAATGCCAACTTTTGCTGCTATGCGTTGGAATTCTACATCTAGAGCAGTAATTTCAGTGCCTTCAAACAAAGACAAATTGATTGATGTCTTTGATTTTATCCTTAACAGTGACGATTTTAAAACCGACGACCAAAGTCTTAGGGAAGCGAGAGGTTTCAAATATATTTTTAATGATCAGAAGTTTTGTTTCTTGTTAGAAATATTTAAATTAATATTTGAACATACCGATGCTGTTTTTTCTATTCTTCAAAATAAATCAACAGATATTAATTACTCAAAACAACGGTTAAACAATTTAACAGAAATTTTGATGAATTTTAGAAATAACGACATATTTCTTAATAATATTTTCGAATCAATTGATTTAACTCTCGAACCGCCGACGCCGAAAAAAAGAAAAATTAATTTAGACTTACCCAATTTAAAACAAAATTATAAATAGATTTTAATGAAATATTGGACACCTTTCTAATGCAAATCAAAGTTAGATTTGAAGATTTACTTAAATTAAACTACTTTGATTTGTTGTTGTTTGAAAAATTTTCAGAATAGCTCAGAATCCATTTTTCGATATTATTCAACTGAAAAATGAATTAATCGTAATGTACAGCGACCTTCAAATGTTTCAAAATTGCAAGTCTCCTTCAGTTTTAATACATTTTATGTTTAAAAATCAAAAATTAAAAATAATTTATATGAAATAACTTAAAGACAACCCTTTTTCCTTGTTTTTGTTTTTTAATGGTCAGTTTTATACGTATAATTTTCGGCAATACACGATTTTTGTATATTACGTATTTTGCTTTAAATAGGTACGGTACCCCAAAAAATGTTCGCGCCTCCGACGGGCTTTTCTGTGTATATATAGTTTTTATGACTTTAGCCTCCCCTGTTCTCCAATGCACGAGCCGTCACTGCTACCGCCCATTCACACCGGAAGCCTTTTTAGTTCCTGGTAAAGACTCTTTCACACGGGGAGCATTTATCACTTCTGGTAGAGACGTCTCACACTGAGAGCTTCACGTCTCTCGATTATATACGGGAGCGTTCATCACTCCTACCTACCACCCATGGAGCTCCTTGAGCTCAGTCGAGCTGTTACCATATACCTCCTCTAGCTTCGACACAAACCTGGACGACAGAAACATCAACGTTCAAGCTTCCCGTATGAAAGAGTCCTAAGTGTGATGGATACGGCTCAGTTTAGCGGCTGTTCGATCCAAAAAGGCCCATTGGCCGTCTCATAATCCAGTGGTCGCCAACCATAATCCAGTGGTAGCTCTCACAACGATTTTAATTTAAAAAATACAAACTGCAAAAATCAGAGAAGCTTCCGAAAATTCCACAAAAAAATCTAATTGTCATAATATTAAACATAAACAGCGGCAATGTTGCGGTGAGTGATCTGCCGCTGACGCCATCAAGCTAGAATCGGCTAGAACCGACCAGCCGCACCAGCACGTTAGTGTTCGAGAACGATCTGGATTGCTTTGAACGGGATAAATATGCACGGCGCGGCGACATTGCGCTTAGTTTAAACCTGAACGCGTAACCAACGTCCAGCGGTTGGGTTAGTAGAGAACAACAAAAATAATATTATGGCAAGCAGTAGTAAGAAAGTAAAGACATACCACTTTCATTCGGAATGGGAAGAACAATACTTTTTTACAGAAGTTAAAGATAAAAATGTGTAATTGTTATGTAATACTTCGGTCTCCGTTGCTAAAAAAGGAAATATTGAGAGACATCATAAAACTGTACATTCTAATTTTGAAAAATCATTCCCACTACATTCTGCCGCTAGAAAGGAGAAACTGAAAAAGTTAAAAAAGCAGTTAATTGGACAACAATCAATATTTTTAAAAACAGTCGACAAAAATAAGGCTGCAAATGAAGCATCGTACCTGTGTCCCAGATAACTGCACAAAAAAGAAACCTTATGAAGACGGGAAAATGATAAAACAGGCGTTTTTAGAAGCTGCTGATTCGTTATTTGCCAACTTTAGAAATAAAGACGAGATAGTTTCAGCTATAAAATCTATGCAACTTTCTGCTAATAAAGTGATGAGACGTGTAGAAGTAATGAGCAATGTAATTTTTTTACAGTTAAGAACTGACTTAGATAACTGTTTATTTTTCACTTCAACTGGATGAATCAACAGATGTCGTTGACACTGCCCAGATAGCCATGTTCGTCAGGATGGTTTTTAGTGATTTTACCATTAAAGAAGATTTTTTGAAGTGCATTCCACTGAAAGGACACACTACTGGACATTCTCATTTAAAAAATATTATTTCTTAGAAAATTCCAATATCGAAAATGGTAGGCTTGACAACCAATGGCGCTCCAGCTATGGTGGGTTGTGGTGGCGTTATGTCGTAAAGATGAAACTTTTCCGCAATTTCTCTGTTACCACTGCATTATCCATCAGCAAGCATTATGTGGAAATTTCCTGAAACTTAACAACGTTATGAAACTGGTGGTGAAAATTGTGGACAAGATTAGAGCTCAAGCGTTACAAAGAAGATTATTTAGAACCTTAGCCGATGAAGTTGACTGTCAATACGGGGACCTACTCCTTCACTCTGAAGTCCGATGGTTAAGTAGAGGGCGGGTGCTGAATAGTTTTAATGGTGTCCTATCTGGCATAGTTATTTTCCAAACAACGCGATGAACCGACTTCGGAACTAGAAAATTCAATCTGGCTTAGAGATTTTGGTTTTCTTATTGGCATTACAGAGAAATTAAACGAACTCAATTTGCAGCTTCAGGGGAGAGACAAAGAACTAGCTGAAATGATTTCTGATATAAAAGCATTCATCAAAAAGCTGGAGTTTTGGGAACAAAACCTGATTAACAGCGATGCCAATCATTTTCCTATTCTTTCAGAAAAATATCTCAAAATCCATTAGAACCCTTCGACAACAAATATCATGTAGAAATGATTTCTACCCTGAAGAATAACTTCAAAAATCGTTTTAAGGATTTCAATGAAATGGCTTTAGTAGCGCAGTTTGTTGTTTCACCCTTTATGGAAATTGATATCCAATAGTTTGCAACTTGTGTTATGCAGAACTTTGGCGAAGACATCGCTGCAACAGAAATGGAAGTCATTGAGTTTCAAATGATTCAGCCTTAAAATCGTTAGTCTCAAGTACTGAATGTATCTGGCCTATTGTAAGTAAAGACAAATATTCAGTTCTATGCCGTGTTGCCTTGAAAGTGAAAACATTATTCAGTTCAACCTATTTGTGTGAATCTTCTTTTTCCAATATGAAGTTTATTAGGAACAAATATCGCAATTGACTTACAGATGAACATTTGGATAATTGTATTCGAATGGCTGCATCAAATTATACTGCAAACATTAAAAAAATTATCGATGAGTCTGAGTGTCGGCCTTCTCATTGAATGTGCTTTTTCATTTTTCAATGTTTATGTTCATGATAGTGCGTTACTTTTTTGTTATTATTATTAACTATTTTTAAATCATACGTAACATGCCGTTGTGGCTGGATAAAAGTTTGTGTTTATTTTTCAAACACCTTCGTTTGATAGGTAGGAATGTAGCTATGAACAAGTACGTACTAGTAATATAAGTTATTTTGTTATTAGTTTATTATTAGTACCTATTTATTATGTATTACCAGTTAAATAGTGAAATAAATACATATTTTTTTTTCACCGTAGTGTGCGCTGGTCAGGCCCTATCCCCCGAAGCCCCGACACATTCGAGAGGGCGCGCCAGCATAATCAACCAATGACCACTCCCCACACCGTGAGGTAAGTGATCATAGAGTCCGAGAATCATGTGCCCTGAGCAAACGCAGTGAGCCAAGAATGACAGCCTTCTGCATCTGTGTATTATTATTATTATTATTATATAATGATAAATTAACTGTGGATTATTTCATTTACGTTGCGTTACGTGGCTTCCGTGTGGGTAGCTCGCTGTTTATTCCAAAATTAACAAAATTAACAAACAAATCCATCACGCATTGGATACGACCCGTCGACTTCAACTTAACTCTCGAGTTGTGTATCCTATTCAATCTTTCCAACTGCTAGATCGGAATTCCGCGATCGACACGGCGTAGTAATTTTGTCAGATGGTAGAACTTCACTTCTATCACTTAATTAGCGGACTGGAAATATAATATATTCCGTCAAGTTTTGTGTGGAGCAGGCAACATGCTCTGGGTGTATGTCACATCACAAAGCATGCATTCTCGTCATGTACCCTCTCCGCTTATTCACTACTCTCGTGATAACGTATGACGCTAACCCTTATCACATGCTTTCTTTCAAAGCTTCCGATATCATTACAGCTGTCAAATTCATTGTTTATATTCGTTATTATTGTATAAGCTTATAGATCCTGATACCAACTCCACAATAAAACACAAATGAATTTCTAAATTAATCTGAAGACTATCGAGTAGGGGTACATATATCTGTGCCTACACAGATTCCATTCAGGCTAATTTTAATTTCTGTTAGAGCATTGGTACATGGTACATGGGATGTTTCTTCCCCATTTGGTGCTTTTTTCACGAGATGTAGTTTAAAATATTTTTCCTCGAGTCCCGGACCATTGTGTTTGAGTCGGATTTCTCCTGCACTGATGAGAGGTAATACCTCGAAACCGGTTTGTAGGTGATCTACACGATTGATTTCAGCCTATTCCTGCTGCTCAATAAACGATAAACATCTGCCAGTGAAGTATCTTCCATAAATGTCTGTCGAATATAATTCATTGTTCATCGTGATATTAGCTCGAGGGGTAGTTGTTTTTCGGAAGACATTTACTTACTAGAACCTACTTTGAAGGTACATTGTGGGAGATAAATGTTTCGGTAACCATTTCGAATTAATAATTTTTTTATACAAATGAGTGTGTCGATTTTTTTTTTGTTTTTTCATATTTACATTTTCAGTCGTACCACACATAACCGATGCCATTCAAGAATGGGTTGAAAGAGTTGCTGAAAAGCCAGTTTCTGATACTGGCAAAACTCCTGAAGTGTGTATCATCGAGCTGGGTGGAACTGTAAGCGACATTGAGAGCGTAGCATTTCTCGAGGCATTCAGGCAATTTCAGTATCGAATCAAAAGAGAGAATTTTTGTGTAACCCACGTTTCTCCTGTTCTCCAACCGAAGACTACCGGGGACCACAAAACAAAACCAACTCAGGCGTCGATACAAGAATTGAGACGTTTGGGACTAAACCCGGATATAATAATTTGCAGATCGGAGAAACCGATAAGAAATAGCACCAAACAGAAGATATCCAACTTTTGCAATGTTGCTTCTGCTCAGGTACTTGAAAGTTGTTTCAGTTTTTGTACAATTTCTTTTACATAACATATATTCTTTTCAATTATTATTATTATTAATTCCTTTATTTAGTATAAGCTAATATACAATATGTTTGATCCTAACTATGCATTAGGCTAATGTCAAAATATTCAAACAATGAATTACAAATATATACAATCACAAATAATAAACTTCAACCACTCTTATGAAATATCTACACATAGATGGGCAACAATGGTAAGAGAAAAGTATTGATACAGATACAATGCAACAAACACAACACTTTAAAACCTTGGAATAGTAATGAAGTTATTGAACTCAAGAAATAACAATAAATCAAAATCACTCGCCCATTATATGCATTTTCAGCCTTCCCTTAAATTGACTTATCGAATTACTATCTTTGATACCATGATCAAAATTACTGAAAGCCAACATTCTTGCATGATAAATAGATTTTTCAGTGCACCTCTCAATTTTTGGTTCGGTTGATTCTGATATTATAATTATGATGTTATTGTTATATGTTATTATTTGTTATTTTTCTGCTCAAGTAGTTCGGAGATAGATGGTGATGCATCTTATATATCAGTACCATTGTTTGATAGTACACATAGACTTTTAATGACATCCATTTCAATTATCTCAACATGTTGATTATTGGCGTGTCTCTTGGTTCACCTAGTATGATCCTCATGGCTCAATTTTGTTACTTTTGAACCCGTAAATAGTATTGAAGAACAGAAAGTAAGTGTTAAAACTAATGTATATGTATATGTAATGTATAAATTGTAATTTTTGATAATCTAGATAGGCTAGGCGATACTCTCACCAGAAAATTTACCTTATTGGTGATAGTTTTTATCACTTTCAATACATGTTCTTTGAATGTTAGTTCTTGGTCAATCAATACTCCCAAATACTTCACCACTGTTACACTTTAGAAATCCTCATTAGCATTCTTTATACTAATTCCTCTATTTTTGATTTCGTCATAACCTGTTTTATTACTCAGTAAGAGAAATTTCGTCTTTTCACTATTCAGTTTAAGAGTGTTGAGATTACACCATAGACTAATTCTGCACAGCTCACTATTTAGATTATCGACCAGCTCATCAACGTTATAAGAACAGTAGTATATTGAGGTGGCATCTGCAAACAAACTAATTTTGCACTCAGAGATCTCGGAAACAAGTTAGTTTAGATACAGAAGTAAGAGTAAGGGCCCAAGTGTACTACCCTGTAGCACTTCATTATCGTTAATAATTTCGGAGGAAATAATATTATTGACCTTTGTTAATTGTTTTCTATCACTTAAATAGTTTCTGAACCATTTCAGTACTGTGCCGGTTATTCCATAGTATTGTAGTTTTAAAAGTAATATCTTTCTGAATTTCACTAGTTCGGACTTCCATTGTCTAGTATATAAAATGATTTGAAATCCCTGAAACAACTAAAAAAGAAGAATTGAAAATGAATAGCTGAAACTAGATGCCTTCCTGAAACACATCAACAGCGTGAGACCTTCCATCAATTTCACAATGGAGAAAGAAATCCACAACGAATTGCCATTCTTAGACGTTTTGGTGAAGAGGACCGACACTAAGTGGGAAACATCTGTATACCGAAAACCCACTCATACGGGACAGTATCTGAACCACGAATCCAACCACCATCAATCGACTAAAAGAGGAATCATCAAGACTCTATTAGACCGTGCTTTTGGGCTTTGTAATACGAAGGAAGGTCTCGAGAAGGAACTAGACATCATCAAAAATGATCTTCAACGGAATGGCTACTCCAAAGCGATGGTAGAAAAGACTTTGGCTAGAAGACAGCAGGAGCCTCGCAAGGAAGAGAAGCCGTCACAACCAGTGCTTGCACTTCCCTACATCAGAGGATTATCGGAGAGGATAAGAAGAATTGGTTCCAAGTACAACATCAGAACCTGCTTCAGATCCGGTAACACTATCCGTAGCAGCCTCAAGAAAACCAGGCCACCAAACGCGGACTGCGATTCCAAGAATTGCATTCATCGGATACCCTGTGAGTGCGGAAAATCCTATATTGGTGAAACTAAGAGGCCATTGAATGTTCGCATTGCCGAGCACACAGCACACACAAAGAAACACACACAGCGAGGGGAAACCAGCAAATCAGAAATAGCAGACCATGTTTGGACCCATCAACACAACATCGAGTGGTCCCAAGCTGAGATCTTGCACAGAGAGGAACATTGGTTTAGGAGAAAATTCAAGGAAGCCGCATACATGTTGTCCAACAACGTATTCAGCCAAGCCAGCGTAGACATACGCAACATATGGAAACCCATCATCAAGCGAAAAATGGCCAACTCCCGCCAAAACGGTCATCTCCCACGGAACCAGTGAAGCGGAAAATGGAAAGCGGAGATAAGTGAAAGTACTTGAACGACCTATAAATAGTCATCTCTCGGAGGAATCAGTCCAGTCATCACCCGAAGACGATTGTAGATACTAACAATCGAAACGTCGTGAACTAACGTGACTTGGAATCTCTCCACTTTTTATTATCATTTTTATTTTCTTTTTTCATTTCTTCATCTTTATTTATTCAATTGTTCTATTTTTACTTGTATTTTATTTCACTATTATTTCATTTCAGGTTTATTTTGGTTAATATAATTGTTATTTTCAGCTATTCATTTTCAATTCTTCTTTTTTAGTTGTTTCAGGGATTTCAAATAATTTTATATAGTAGACAATGGAAGTCCCAACTAGTGAAATTCATCATGAAACATTGTCAATCACCTTCAAACTAATATCTTTCTATCAACTGCCTTGAAGGCGCGTCGCAAATCTAAGAATATGGCTCCAATTGATTTGTTTTCGTTAATCCACATTTACCAGTCAAATAAGATACAAAATATCATTATCATTTACATACTGGATCAATTGTTCATAAACAACTCTTTTTAACAACTTTTCCACGGCAGTTATTATTATCATATTATCGTTTAAAATCAATTTTATCCCAATTATTTTTTATGCATGACCATTAGAGAAAATTTACACGAGTTAACAAAGGCTAGGGTTTGAACTCTCTCGTGCAGAATATAAGTTTCTTTTGGCAGTTCAAAATAATACTACCAATTTTAGTTAGGCAAAATATATAAAAAATTGACCGTTGAAAAAATCTTGATGCCTCTCTATCAAATTACTTATTTGTGATGCACTGTTTGGAACCTTTGGTGTAGTAATGACTATTACCGGAGTTTTTTCCCAACATTAAACCGTTATTTTAACACCTCGACACGTGTTTCGATTACCAAGTGATCATCTTCAAGATGAAGATTAAACAGTTTGATCTTTGGTGTTGGGATAAAACTCCAGTAATATTCAACATAAGTTACTAAAGGTTAATAATAAAAATTAAATGAGCCCATAGTAAAAGAAGAACAAACCTTATAATCATTAAAACATTCTGCTAGTCTAACAGATATGCTTTCATTGTTTGTCTAAAGTTATATAGTGGCTTTGAATCCGCCCCCTCCACAAACTCTGGAAGATTATTGTAAATTTTTGGACCAATGTAGTCTGACATAGAATAAGCCACTTATAATTTCGCAATGGACTCATGTAACTGGTTTTTGATTCTCGTATAGTTGTAGTGAATACTCTTATTTAATGTAAAATTGGGGATTTTCATCAAGTATCGGCCAATTTCATCGCAGAAATATATTTAATACAAATTTATGCGAACGCCCTGCGATGAAATGATTGTCTTTTGGAAACGAAGTTATTTGGAATTGCTTATGAATATGTTTTACATCAAGATTTAGAAGGCTGAATTTCCAGGTTATTTGTGTTCCCGATTTGGAGTCGATTTACGAAGTGCCCGTTCACATGGAAAAATACGGAATAGCCAAGTATCTGATTGAGCGATTAGAACTAGGAATATTTCCCTTACTACCGATAGAGAAATATATGAAACCATGGATAGATCTCGGAAAAATCATGACTCAACCGAAGTATGAAACAACAGTGGCTATCGTTGGGAAGTATACAAAACTGGAAGATGCCTATACATCCATTTTGAAAGCTTTGACTCACGCAGGAAATGAGGTTGGATGTAGGGTTAATGTTAAATTCATCGACTCATCGAACTTGGAACAACATATGCGACTGATGGAACCAGCAATGTATCATAATGCATGGTACAACTTGAGTATTTCAGAGTAAGTATAGTTGATGTAGGTAGGTTGTTTTTTAACTAAACCAGAAATTTGTAATAATAGAATGTGGCTGCCCTGGCAGATGTCAATGGTCTCTCCCAGACAAGGATAATAATTGTTGAAAGCGATAAAAATCCAGTAGACGTGTAGTATGATTTCATTGAAAGTATAGAAACACTGCTCATTTTACAAAATATCCAAAGTGACTTCTAGAGCAGATACAAAATCGTAAATCAAATATCTTCCAAATGTGGGTATACTTCGCAAATGGGTTATAAATTAGAGCCAGATAATATTATTTTTTGTTTAAATCTGTTTAACAACGACAACCCTCAGAATTTGAAACTTGTGCGAGCTAAGAATTAACGAGATCTTACTTTTAAACATGTGATTCCTAACACGGGTTGGATGATAGCAAGTGAAAATCGATCGTTCAGACTAGGGCTATGATAATATCATTATGATTATTTGATTATTGGGAAAGAAAGGTTTAGGCTTTCTACTTCTCCATCTTTATACAAAAAATGTGGGGCTCATTCAAAGAAAGGAAAAAAGCAGTCACTTTCAAAAAATTAACTCCACATGTGTAGATCACGCAAATGAGTAACTTTCAGACAAACTGGAAGAAAAACTCTCTCGAAACAGCTACTTTCAAATAAAAATTAAATTACACGAATGAAAGATACTTTGGAAAAACACTTTTGTCTATTCAGTTTGTATTTCAAACATTCGTTATGGAATTGAATCAGACATCATTTACAGGATTGCTACACAATATAGTTAATGAAAGAGGTAAAATTTCACTTATATGGAACACTGTCACCCTTACTGGTGGACATCTGATGTTTCGGCTTAAAACACTCGCCTTATCGGGTCTTCTGCACCAAATACATTTTTTTAATAAAGATATAGAAGTTGAAAGTCAAAACCTTACTTTACCAAAAATTATTCTCTCCTAAAAATATACCACTTTCAATTCAAATATTTGATTACGTTTCGTTCACATCCCAATCAGAATTCACTGTTACGCTCATTTTTTGTTTGCTGTGATGCTCATTTTTCTTCTTTTTTTTCCAAAGAGCTCGACTTGATGATTTTATTTTGCGATTGGCCACCATGTATTTTTGACGAAATGTACTGCTCCCAATGTGTCTACACTTCCTGTAAAATATCATTAGTGAAGTATTGTTTCAGCTATTCACAGTATCTATCTTCAGGCATTTATTGTTGGTCACAACATTTTGAACCATTTCATCATGTCTTCAGGACAATTTATCTATTCTAATAACTTTCTCACTTTTTTTACCCAAGTTTTAAAGAGAAAAAAATCCTCAGGCACGATCATTGGGGACTTTTGTTTCCATTTCTCCATTGTCAGTCCATTATTTTCAAAACCAGATTGTTTCCGACATGTATTGAGGTTATTATAAGTTATTATAACTCAAAGAATCCTTATCGCTCCTGCTTCTTTTCCTTGTACGTCCCTTCATTAATTTTCAATAATCCCATAGGTCCGCTTTTGCAACCTCAGTGTTGAAACTCTGAAGTTGCCCAACTGAAACCTCCACTCTGTTGACTCTCTCCGTTTGGAGATCTCTGATCCGGAGACAGAGTTTCTCTCTTATTTTCATCACCCACCAAACAAAAGGACGTAATCGTTTTCATTAAATAACTGTACTTATTTGGTCGAGTCTGAATAGATGAGCCACAAAAATCTTTGGTACCATCCATGGTACCATCAGTAATAAAAGGTAGAACTGGTACCCCATTCTCTTATAAAGATCTATTTGTTCCCTGAAATTTCTCACTAGTTGGTAGATTTTATACACCAAAATTTCTCTTCTAGCTGTGTTGTAGTTCCTGGAGGTTTTGGAATACGAGGCGTGAGCGGCAAAATAGACGCCTGCAAATGGTGTCGAGAAAGCAAAACACCTTTTTTGGGTATCTGCTTAGGCTTCCAGGTTGCCGTCATCGAATTCGGCAGGAACGTATTGGGTTTGACTGATGCCAATTCGACTGAACTGTGTAAAACAAGTAACCATCCCGTAATTATAGAAATGTCAGAACATAATAATGGGCAGATGGGAGGTACAATGAGGTTAGGAAGACGTTTAACAGTCTTCAAAGATAGTACAGAAGGCAGCAAAATAAGTGAGACATCTATAGTTGTAATCCCTTCCTGAAATAATATATCTATTCCCTAGGACGCTTGTATGGAGACAAAAGAAATATCTATGAGCGGTACAGGCACAGATTCGAAGTCAATCCTGATTACGTTGAAGAGTATGAAAAGAACGGGATGTACTTCGTAGGTAGGAAATCACACCTCTATATATTTCACATGTTTTATACAAATATTCCACAGGTGTTGATAGTGACCAAAAAAGAATGGAAATTTTTGAGTTAGAGGATCATCCATACTATATAGGTGTTCAGTACCATCCAGAGTACCTCTCCAGGCCAATGAATCCTTCACCGCCATTCGTGGGGTTACTTTCAGCAGCTGAAAACAGACTTGAATCATACTTGAGCCAAGAATGTAAAGTGTTATCTGCAGAGCAGTTGGATTCAGGTTGAATATTTATGATAAACTATATTTATTATTTCTTGAAAATTAGTGGAAATATTAGGTTGTTGTTTCAAAAGTTTTGTCAGTTTCAATGTCATGTGTTTTTGTAGCTGCATAGCTCAATTGATATTTATTCTACTGTGTCATGGTATATATTGATCGATAGAGAATGTTGTACTCTGTACATTGATCGTCTTGTGCAATGTAAAGTGGGCCCACCCAGGCACTTCTCAAAGGCAAAAATCTTCCAAAAAAACATGCTATAATTTTCTGCAACCGGGCCAAACAGTAGAGTTTTATCGTGAGCAAATCGACAAAATGTGCGGAAAATTGTGTCAGCAGCAGCCAGCACTGATCAACAGAAGAGTTTCGATCCTGCCCCATGACAACGCTCGTCCGCACGTTACACAAATCACGGTCCGAAAATTAAACGAATTGGATGTCAAAGTTCTGCCTGACCCACCATACTCGCTAACCAACTACCATCTTTTCAAGCACTTCAAAAACTTTCTCTCCGGAAGAACTTTTACCAATCAGGACCAGGCGAAACGACCTTCGTCGACGTCATCGAATCCCGAGCACACAATTTTCATGATGACGAAATTAATTAACTTGTCGAGAGTGCATATTTCAATTGAATTTAATGAGTTTTCTTGATATTACAGTTTGAAGTAGAGCAATAAAAACGGACAAAACTTTTGAAACGACCTGATACTATAACCATAACCCAAAGAGCATACCCTGTGGATGTATTTACTAATAGGAGGCTGAAAATATCATTCTATGGATTTAAACGGTACTTTATTGTTGATATGGAAGGAGCATGTACTTTAATTCGACATTTATATCTCCGTTCTTTTTCTTTGTCAGAAACAAAAATTCAATGATTGCTGAATATTCGAATTCATTCATTTTTATAACAATGCAAAATTTGTTCATTTTCAATGACTCTCAAACACAGACTAACTAAACTTAAGCTATATGAAAATCGACCAGCAGTCTTCTTAAAGTAGTGGTGTTACTGTGGTCTTCCTTTTTTGCCTAGCCTTGTATTTACAGGTAGTGGTTTTTTTCATTTTTGGTTTTACCGGGATCTAAAATAAGAATAATCTAGTCTTATATATTCTTATATGAAATGGACAACTGAATCCTTCATCCGAAAAACTTGAATTCTTTATCAATTGTTTTCAAAGGAAAATTGACAAGCAGTCACCTCAACATTTATATTGAAAAATTATATAATGTTCAGTTCAGGCTCGTATTTTAGGATGTAGGTCTTTTTATTTTCCCACGATCTGAAATATAAATAATAGTCTTATATAATCTCAAAAATGAAATCTTCATCCATTGTTATAACAGATATTACAGGATCCTGTATATGCACTTTTCAAAATGTAAATTTCACTTTTTTAGATGAAGAATACCTGGACACTAAACAAACGAGTTCAACCAATCATTGTGAAGATAGCAGCAGTGCATACAGCAGTTCCAGCTTGTCCTAAGACGAAACGTTCAACAACATTAATTTATGGTGAATTTTCGAAATTGATTTTGCTTTTCAACTTGTATGTTAATACCATTTCTATGTTAATAAAATATTTTTTCATAGACTGGTTTCTCTCTTGATATGCAAAATATTCTAAAAGTAGTGGTTATTACTTGCTTTCCTAGTGTATTTTCCAACGTTAAAGGTCAAATGAAATTTAGAATTCAGCTCATTGAACAGGTTTGTCAGGCAACTGAACAAAGATTAAAACAACTTCAAACAAAAACACAAATTTGACAAAAGGTTTTAATATTGCATTGTAATCAATTCCAAACATAACTTCTGTTTATAGAAGCACAGAAAAATCCCTGTAATAAATACTGTTGATTTTTTAATAAAAGCGAATTGAATAATACTTAATAATTTTTTTAAAGCAAAACAGAAAGCTCATTTTCTGTCAGCTGGACGAACATATGCTGCCCCGGCATTTCTTTCCCATTCTCGATTGAATTCATTTTCTAGAATCTCTGCACCGCGTTTTCTAGTCAGTCCCGTTTCTTCCAAGGACAGCTCACACATTTGCATATCGTCTTTTCCTGAAAGCAAATCAATGTATGAACATAAATTTTTCTCAGAAATTTATTGACGACAATGGGAGATGAGGAGATAGTGAACAAAAGGAAGGATGATTGAAGAAGGAGGTAGCTGAAAAGAGAACATATAAAAAATAAAAGGAAGAAAGTATCAAAAAGAAAACAAACAGAAATGATAAAGAAAAGTGGTGGAAGAGGAAGAAAGGGAAGAATGAGGGAAGTGGAACAGAACGATGAAAGAGGAAATCTGTATAATAGGGAGAGAGACTGAAGAGAAAGTGATGATGAGAACAATTTGGAGATGAGAGATGAAAACCGAGAAGATAGAAATACAGAAGAAAAGAAAGTAAGAGAGGAGAAAGATGAGCAAAATAAAGTAAAATGAAGATGTGAAAGAAGAAAGAGACGTAAAGTGTGTTATACGAGAGTAACCAAAAGATAAAATCATGAGACATCAAATCATGCTTTTTCTCTTGAATCATACCAACAACGATAAATAATCTAGATTGAATATGTATCAATAATCATGTAACAATTCATTACAATGTGTTAACCTGCATTTTCATATAATTTAAGTTTGGTTATTTATTATTTGTAAAATCACATACAATCAACTGCTGACTCATTTTTGTTATGTTCACTCACACCTACTTCATCTTAATCTCCTTCTCTCTTACGTCACACACTTCTCTCTTTTTTACTCACTCCCTCTATTTCACCTAACTCTCCCACTGTGTCTAGTCCCAATCTCTATATCCCATCTCTCTCCTCCTTTGCTCTCCGTATATCTACTCATCTTGTATATTGCTTTTTCTATCTAATCTCTTTGTTTGTACCTCTCATCATCTGTCTCGTTCTTGTTTTTCCATCTCTCTGTCTCCTTTTCACTCGTATTTTTCACTTTGGCTCTCTTATCTCCTATTTATCTGTTTTATCTCAGTTTTTCTCTATCTTCTTCCCATTACCCTGTACCTCTAATTCTCATCTTTCATCTCTCTCATATTCACTTCTCTCTTTTCGCTCTCAGTCTTATTTGTTTTGTCTTCCTCTCATATTCGCTGTCTCACCTCTTTTCATTGTGGTTTATCTAATTCATTATTTTCAACTTCACTGTGCTCCCTCTTTGTGCATTTCTTTTATCATTCCCTTTCTTTCAACACGCCTTCTCTTTCATCATACTTTCTCAATTCTCACATCTTTTATATTTGGTGAGACTTGTTTAAAATTAAAGAAAATTCCTACTGAATGTCATTATCACATTTTGAACTTCAGAAGTGATATGTTCTAAAAAAATTAATTTTCATAAGTTGCCAAAAGTAACTTTTCTCTCGTATTTTATAATGACTATAGAGATTGTAATAATATATATCTTAAAACTCCTTGACTAATCTGAATTTGGATGACACCCAATTATCTGAATATTTTTACAAGTGGTGGTAAAAACCCGGATCAAACAAAAAATTCTTACCGGCTACCAACAAAATTGGAGGCTTGTCAGGATGCAGTTCCATCTGTCTTGCCACATACTGCCCATCGAAATGTGCGTACCACCAACCCCTCCTATTTGGATCGCCCCCTGGTCGCTGAAACGGAATACGAAAATAGCGTTGGCTGTTGTTATCCAGCACGGTCTTTTGCGTCATCTTAGTAGTCCTAGATGCCGATTCCATGACGGATCTGGGAGCGCGTTCGTTTTCGTCCATCACGGTACGCTTGCGGTTCTTCGCCTTCCAAGCGTGGTAAACCTTGAGGCGACGATGGAACTCGTGACGGCAGGCTTCCAAAAGCTCGATGTCGCATGACGTATTGATCGTATCTCGCAGCTCAGAGTATTTCCATTTTGAAAGGTCGTATTTGCTCGAAGCTAGTGCTGCCTGCTGATTTTTCATCGCTTCTGACCTGTATTGCATCAAATTTAATAATACGTTTGAAAATTCTGTGAAATATATATTTTTCTGAAAATGTAATAGCAAAAACAGGAAAAATCATTTGTTGAAAATCATGTTTTCACTACTGGAAGAGTAACGTGATTCTGACCGGCGCACAGTTATTCCTCAATTTTATATCATGAAATAGCTAGCAGGCAGCTATTTTTATTGTCCCACAATTGACGCAATAGAGGTCTGGAAAGCCCAGAAGATTAGATATATCTTTGAAAGTTGAGGAATCAAAAAGTTTAAAAGCAATGAAGTTTGAACTAGGATCAGATGAAGACTGAATATAATTCAATTTGTTTTTTGCGCTTATTCATATCAAAGAATGAATTTAAATCTATATCAGAGATTAGTATCACACATAATAATACATGTATACTCAAATATGATACCACGAGAAAATTATGATTCGTCAGTAACGAAAAAACTTTTTTTGAAATATTGCAGATACAGTGCAATATATTCACCTACTACAAAATGGCGGAACATTTAATAATTTCCTTAAGACAACCACATTAATATCAATATTTCTAGAAATATTCCTTTTTATCTGCCATATAGCAATTCCAAAAACCCGATAAGGTTTGTTAAGTTAGTTTTTTTATACAAAAACGATAAAAAATGTCAGTACTACAATGAACATCATTGTTCAGTTACAATATTCTCAATTAGTTTTCGGTTTTACTAGCAGAAAGATACCACGTCAACAATCTCTAAAATGGTCAATTCTTGCTGTGGAAGAAAAAATTGAAGATTTTTATTTACGGTACAACGCGTAACTTTCATGAGACCGGAAGGATTTTCAATGAACGTTTTCCGAATCGTCCTATCTGTAGAAAACATTTAAGGGAAATTGTATCCAAATTCACAACTACCGGTAGTGTACCTACATAACAAAAAGCCCTCATGTCATCCGTCCATTCCGGAAGAACGGCAAGTGCAAATAATTGGTGCGATGGTAGTAAATCCTGAACAGTCTACTTATTCCATCGCGAATGTTTGTGAGGTGTCTTCTTCTACTGTGCTGATACTTTTGAAGAGGAATAGGTATCATCCATACAAAATTGAAATGGTACACCAATTAACTGAAGATGACCCTGATCGAAAAACAGAAATCATTCCAAGGCATCCTACCTATCTCCACATTATTTGTTTTAGTGACGAATGTAATTTTTTTTAAACGGCAATTTTCACAGGCAAAATGGCCGTTATTGGAGTGACACCAACCCTCACGTTTTCCGGGAAACACATACCCAATTAACGTTTCGGCAGGAATATTGGGAAACCATATTGTAGGGCCTCTATTTATTGATCAAAATTTTTAACAGGGGAACTATATTTGAATATGCTGGAAACTACTGTTGACCCTCTCATCACTGAAATCGTCGAAGCGAATCATAATAAATTCGATATGGATATTGTATTCCAACAAGATGGAGCACCACCACATTACTCCAGACAAGTAAGACACCATTTGGATACTGATGAAAAGAGAAATGAAAATTTCTATGTTCTTAACCACTTCTATTTGTAACTAACGTTACTGCAGTTTGGTCCTATATGGACATTTTCAAGCTTGTTCAAGTTTGAAAATGTCCATATAGGATGAAACTGCAGTAACGTTAGTTACAAATAGAAGTGGTAAAACACATAGAAATTTTCATTTCTCTTTTCATCATGATCTCCTACCACGTAGTAACGGCTATATCCATCAATTCATTTGGATACTACTTTTCCCGGTCGTTGGATTGGCCGTCGAGGTCCTACAGAATGGCCAGCCCGCTCACCAGATTTGACATCTTTGGACTTTTTTTATGGAGCTATTTGAAGCAAAAGATGTATGAAACTGAACCTGCTTTCAATATTGGATATACGGCAGAGAATAATAAATATTTGTAGAGATATATTGACGTTACTGTGTTCGAAAATGTTCGGCGTGAAATATCGGATAGACTGTTCATATGTCAACAAGTTCAAGGTAACCACTTCGAGCATCTTCTGAACTAACCTCAACCTTATTACCTCATATTATGTAGTTAAATGGCAATTATTGAAAGTTCCGCCATTTTGTAATAGTTGAAGATATTGACTTCATATTCTAGGGTTGTAAAGTATTCGTCAGGAGCTTCAAAATGATGTGTCACAAGACCCCCTTTCCATTGATTTTCTTCCCAGATGGCGCCCAGTAAGTAATTAATCATGCATTAATTTCATTATCCCAAATTTCAATTTTTTGAGTTGACCCGTTCAAAAAATCAAAGGGGAGGGGGGCATTAAAAGAAATGCACTGTATGTATGGAGGCCGATAAGGATACACTCTGAGGCTGCTAAATTAATTCCAAAAAAATATCACCAGCAATCTTAATCATCTGGAAAATCACAGAAGGTTGGGGACTTTTCTCTATCATATGGATACTTTCACAAGTCTTAGCCCACTTATTATTTTAGTAGGATCATTACAGTTCATTTAATCAGTTAGAATAAAAGGATATACTACCACTGTCTTCTATCACATGATCAAGAGGTCACTGCATGTCACATAATGAGCAGGTATTTTTTGGAGTTGTAGTATTCGAAAACACGATTTTCATCTGATTAATTCTTGCTAGAAGTGGTTAATACTAGTTTACAACAAAAAAAGTTTGATAAATTAAAAATCAATTACTCAAACAGTAGAATATTAGGTTGATACTGATACCAAACGATACATTATAGAGATAATGTACTCATGTATGAAATGTCTACGAAATAGTTCACATGGCTATATGAGATAAATGAGATTCCCCACGGCAGTCTGTAGCTCTGAATGTAATGGAATTAGATGAAACAAGAGCCTAAAAACAAACAACACCAAACAGCACAGTTTCAACTTGCCATCAGTGGTGCTAGGCTTAACCACGAATACATTGTTATACTCAGTCAAGCTTAGTAGTCAATGCTGAGTAAAAGTAAGCATGGACATATTTATCTATGAAGATGCCTTGGATAAAACAGATTTGAGTTCTCTGCAAACCAAATAGATGCCATCTTCATAGGGGAAGGTGCCTAACAGTATTCAAAAACGTTTGAGAAGTTACTGGATATTGTTATAGGCCTATATTTTTCCAAGTTTCCGGGGCATTTTTTTATATACAGGTATAACTTTCCCAATTTTGAGATCAGAAGGAAATTTACCAAAAATGTTAAAGGCTCAATCACAATGCCAATTATTCTTCTCAAAATGAATACGGGAACTTCATCAGGCCCTGAAGATGATTTATTTTTGAGCTTGTTCCAATACACGTTTTTCTCAAAAGCACAATAGTCCCATCACCAATGATACAACTGATGCGTACCATTTATAACTGGTACACCATTAATGAGACCTATTACGGTCAAAGTGGCGCTGTTTGGTGTTGAATCACCAATTTTTTATTTATGGGATATGATTTTTTCCTATAAATGCTCAATATCACAATTTTATAAAATACAGAAATATAATAAGATGAAAATAAATTCAAGCAACCTAGGATAGCTCAGAAATTCAAAAACTAATTGTTGAGAGTTGAATTTGAAAAAAAGGCATGTTTCGACACATAAAGAGTATGATAGAAGCCAAGAAGTCTTAAACTGTTAGAAAATATAAGAACAAGAATTCAAGTGAGCAAAAAAATCAATCAAAATTATAATAATCATATTAAACACATTGAATCAATATTATCTCAAGTTTAGCAAAATATGTATCTGAAACATTCGTTGTTCAATATTTCACACCAGAAGTAACTCCTGGAAGAAACATCTAACGACCTTAAATTTCTCATAAATTTTTTTCCACCTGAGTCACTTTTGGTATTAGTTACGAGAGAAGAGAAGTATAAATGAAAAGATAGAAAATATTTCAAAACACATTTTACTTTACTGAATGCAAATCCCTCAGAGGGTAAAGTGACTTGTCTGGAAATGTAATTGGCCATTTGTTAAATATGTGATGAATTGTTCGACACGTGACACTTTTGGTATGAGTTTCTGGTATGAATTCTATTACATATACTATTCAGCTCAAATGTTACGATTCATGAAGGGGTGACTTCTACAATACTGAAAGGGTTATAGATAGATAGATAGTCAACTTTTCATAGCACCAAGTAGTATGACAATGATACACCCAGCATTATCATTTAATGTTGATGATATTGTTAGCATAGCCCCTGGTGTTAGTTACAAATCAATCTAACAATACTAGATCTAACAACCAAATTAGTACCAACTCTACCAATCGAATAATGTCAAATACCTTTTCAATTTGAAGGGCTTTTCCACTTCTACTCCACCACTGCATCATGAAAATAAGAACAACTCTATAAATAAATAACCTATTCATTACCTTCTAGGGATAGTTTTTACCAATAATTGTTTTTCCAATGTTTAACAAAGTATGAGAGAACCATAGATATGTAATAATGAACTAGAGTTTGATTTAATTTTTTATGGAAATGAAAGATTTTATTATAAACATTTTTCGCAAACCTCACAATAACAAAGAAATCAATAAAAACACAGTAGTACTTGCTTTATATAAAATATAAAGGAGTCAGAAACCACATATTAATCCATACCACACAGAATATGGATTTTGGTGAATTACTGCCTGTTCATTGGTTCACAACTGAATGCGAGGACAAAAATAATGTCTCGAAATCCCAGCAACAACAGGCTGACAAGTCTCCGCAACGACTGACCGACAAGTCTCAGCAAAGACTGACCGACAAGTCTCAACAACGACTGACCAACAAGTCTCAGCAACAACTGACTGACAAGTCTCAGCAACGACTCACGGTCATACATTATACAACCGCAGTCAATTTGAAAACTCATAAATGGAATAATTCAAGTGTTTACACCGAAATTACCCCAGAAACTCCAAAACATGTTTTTTATTTCAGCCCATCTTTTCTATACTCTTACTTTTATATTTATAAATAACTTTGTCAATAAGATAATATCTTCAGTCAATACAGTTTATTTTTGATTGATTGAATTATTTAAATAACATTTTCCGATATTCGCTGCATAAAATTTTAAAAATTAGGTAGTATTGAAAGAAGGAATCTGTCTTTCAAAAAAGATATTCACTCAACCCCTGTATCCATCCCACCAGAGAGGATGGAATTAACATAGTTGAAAATAAACGAAGAAGCTTTTCTCTCCAGAATAAAAAACGACAGGACCGATTGATATTCTTTTTTTAAACGACAACTTTTTTCGTTTTCAATACACTTCATATAATTAACGAGGCAATTTTCATAGTCGCAACAGTAGCCCTTTCAACTATCTAGAATTATATATTTTTTTGTTTATGACCCTGTTCAACGATATTGTGCTTATTTCACCTCTCCACATTTGCCCTACTAGAAAGTTTTTCATGATTGAAATTTTGCAATTAATTTGTAATAAAATCTGTCCATCTCCATTTTTGTCATTTTGTACTGGAAAGAAATGAACTGTAATATAGTAAGTTGAGGTCAACCAGACGGTAAATTTCATTCCAGAAAATTGTTTAAGATTTTTCGAAATATCTGAATGAAAATATTATAAATATTTCAAGTGAACCTACTTGCGAACAACTGGTGGGCTTTCCTCAATCTGATCGTTGCTCTCATTAGCCAGACGAAGAGCCAGCTCTCGATCTTGTTTTTCCTGTTCAAGATGCTGCTGATAAACACGTTCTTCTTGTTCCTCTTTCTCATGTTGCTTCTGCAGATCTAGGGCTAATTTCCTGTCTGCCTCTTCCTACGAAACATGAAACAAATTGATGTAAAGAACATTAAAAGTCGAATTTTGAAATAATAACCTGTTTCAAACGTTCTTCCTCTTCTCGTTTCCTCCTTGCTTCCATTTCGGCTTTTAGTCTTCTATTTTCCTCTTCCTCTTTCAACCTACGCTCTTCCTCTTCTTTGAGTTTTCGCTGTCTTTCCATTTCTTCTTGTATCTTCCTCAACCTCTCTTGTTCTTCAGCGATCTTCTGATCTTGAAGTTTTTTCTGTAGAGCTGCCATTTGCAAATTCACTTTCTCTAGTAACTTTACATAAAGGTTTCCAACTGAAGCTTTGTCTAATTTATCATCACTCTAAAAAATATATTTATTAGTCCTAGATAATGTTTTACGGACAACTAACTATACCTTAATCTTATCAACAGCAGCAGCAAATTGTGTTTTCAAATTATTGATTTCATTGGCGACACTATCTTTGTCTTTCTTCAGCTGTTTGGAACTCTGTTCTATTTTCTTCAAATTTCCGTCCAAATTTCTGATATTTCTCAAAGTCTGAATTCGGATACCATGCCGCTTCCTAACTAGATATCCTCTAACGACCTTTTGCATTTTGATGAGGTTTTGTCTCCTCCAAGCAATTTGATTTTTCACTATAATAAGATATTATCTTTTGTTAAAGGCATTGAGTGTGTTATGAAATAACATATTTGATTTGATATATATTAGGTTATTTAAAAAGTTTTGTTCATTTTAATGTCATGTGTTTCTGTAGCTCCATATCTCAATGAATATTTATTCTACTATATCGTGATTTACACTGTGAAATTTGGTGACAGATTTGCAATACTCTTGGTCGTGTTAGGAATTGCTCGTTTAAAGGTAAGACCTCGTTAATCCTTAGCACATAGATGCATCAAAAATATTCCAAAAGCGATGATAACATATGCATGTTGGACATAAGACAGCAAAAAAATCCATAACGTACTCATAAGCAAATGTGCGGTTAGAAATACTTTCATGAACTCAAATGGTACTTTTTTGCTAGGTAAATATGATCCAAAATTAATGAATATTAATAGTCAAAAAATTTCAGTACAATAATTATTTGGGATGCATTTTGAAATATCTAAGTACCATAATGCTCAAGTAATTCAGACACAGAGAAGAGCAACTATCAACTAGTGCAGTGTTTCTCAACTTGTGGTTCGCGGACCCCTGGGGGTCCGCAGGTATATGTATTGAGGTCCGCTGAGCTGAGAGATAAGATCAGATGTTTTTTTTTTATTAATTCTGTAAGCCTCGCCAGTAAACATGTTGATCACTTCAATAACTTTGAATGGCTCACAATGATGGCATATTTGGCTCATATCTTCAGAAGAAGCACTGAAATGCATTTCATTAGTTCGGACTTCCATTGTCTAAAATAATATACCTGATGAGTGTTCAGTTTGGTCTATAATTTAACCATGAATCGACATACGAATGAACAACACTTGCAAATTATTGAATTTTATTATCAAAATTCATGCTCGGTGAAGAAAGTGCATCGTGCACTTCTTCCAATTTATGGGCAGTTTCGTCGGCCGACTGAGGGAGCTATTCGGAAGCTTGTGACTAAATTTCGAACCCAGTTTACATTATTGGACATTAAACCACCAACACGCATACGTAAAGTGAGGACCGAAGAAAATATTGCGGCTGTATCCGCCAGTGTTCGTGATGACCGTGAAATGTCGATTCGCCACCGTTCGCAGCAATTGGGCCTCTGTTACTCCACTACGCGGAAAATTTTGCGAAAGAATTGGAATGTAAAACCGTATAAGATACAGCTGGTGCAAGAATTGAAGCCACACGACCTCCCACAACGTCTAACATTTGGTGAATGGGCGCTGGCAAAGTTGAATGAAGATCAACATTTTTATCGAAAAATTGTGTTCAGCGACGAGGCTCATTTCTGGTTGAAATGAGCCTCGTCGCCCCAAGCATTGCAAGAGCTACCAATGCATCCCGAAAAAGTCACTGTTTGGTGTGGATTATGGGTCGGTGGCATCATCGGGCCGGGCTGGAACGTTACTGTGAATGGCAAGCGCTACCGTGTGATGATTAACGACTTTTTGTTGTCCAAAATGAAAGAATTGGACATACCTGACATGTGGTATCAACAAGACGGTGCCACATGCCACACGGCACGCGAAACAATGGCCGAATTAAGAGCCGCCTTCGGTGAACAGTTTATCTCTCGTTTGGGGCCCGTCAATTGGCCGCCTAGATCGTGTGATTCAACTCCTTTCGATAATAATCCAATCCAATCCAAGAAATATCTTGTGGTGTCATGTTAAGACTCATGTCTACAGGGATAAACCAGCAACGACTGACGCTCTTGAAGCCAATATTGAAGCATTTATACGTGAATCTGTATCTGTAGAGTAGGGAGGGTGAGTGTAAGCCCACGCACTTAGGCCACATGTGACCCATTGTACATCCTCCCAAGGAGTTGTCCTCCTAGGTCGTCGTCCATCCTGTCCTTTCCAGGAAGGTGGACAGGTCGCTGGGAGACATCTCCTTTATATCGGCAGGTGTAGGCCAAGACTCGCCGAACACACACTCTCTTATTGACGATAACTCCGGGCACTCGCACAGGACATGCCTGACAGCCTGACAGTTTCAGTATACGTGAAATACCGGTCGATATGTTAGAGAGAGTGTGCGAAAATTGGACCTTGCGCATGGGCCATCTAAAGCGGAGCCGAGGACAACATTTGCATGAAATCGTCTTCAAACATTAAATTATATTGATCGTTCTATCAATTCCAATAAAGATTTCATCAATTTTTTCAAATTTTTTGTGTTGTTTTGAAAATCATATCCTATACCTCTTAAATAATCGCCCGTTAAAATGATTTGAAATCCTTGAAAGACTCAATAAAATTATAAAGATTAGCTAAAAAAATAACAATTATATTACGAAATTACAATGAAATAAAATACAAGCAACAATTGAAAATTGAACAATTTACAAAAAATGAAAATTAAAATATTTCAAGTCAAGTTAGGTACTCCACTTCACTAGTAAAGTAACATGACTTGAAATATTTTGATTTTTAATTTTCATTTCTTGTTAATTGTTCAATTTTCAATTATTGCTTGTATTTCATTTCATTGTAATTTCAGTTTTTTGCTTAATATAATTGTTATTTTTTTTTAGCTAATCTTTTAATTTTATTGATTCTTTCAGGGATTTCAAATAATTTCATATCATATTAGACAATGGAAGTCCGAACTAATGAAATGCACCATGAAACATTGTCAACCACCTTCAAACAAAAGCACTGAAATATTCTCTGCTTTCCTCATCCACATAAATATGTGAAGAAGCATTCTCTGCTCTTGTATATATCAAAAATAAATACAGCAACAGATCACGATTGGAATCCGATTTTAGATTACAACTAAGTAATAACACCAAACGAAATATTACTTATTTAGTTGCAAAAAACAGCCATTGAAAAAATTATTTTTGGCAGTACTAAATAAGCTGCCTGAAATTCATTCCTGTATTTTTATTAAGGGGGGTTATTGAAATTGTGCTTGATTTTCTAGTGGTCCGTGGGCTGAAAAAAGTTAAGAAACGTTAAACTAGTATAAAAGATGATAGGCTTTTTCTCCATAAGATTGCAGAGCTGTACTTTACCTCAATACAAATGGTGATATTTGAGCTCCATGATATTTAGGCCTACAAGAACTTCACTAAATCTGGATAAAAATAAAATACCGAGGAAGAAAGTCTGGGAGCTGAGCTGTACATTCTTATTCGGTGTGGCATTTGACATAAGCCGGTGAACTCAAACAAAACAGAAAAAATAGAAGCTCCTCAGCATTGGGCATAACCAAACAAACACAAAAATCAAAGGCGACACCCAATAACTTTCAACTTTCAACTTTAAATACCTAACTGAACAACATAATAAAGCCTCCATTTACTTTTTATCACAGTTAAAGCACAGAACTGTGCTTTGATCCATCTTGATGAAACCAGCCACCGCTTTATATTGGTTACAATGGACTGCAGGTTTTCTGGATCCGACTTCATTATTTTATCGAATTCTGCAAACTTTCCTGGTCTAAAGAATACTTTCGTCACTCCAAATTTGAAGTCTCTCTCTCTAAGTTTCAAACTATGCAGCATCGCCTAAAGAAAGTAATTTTTGGTTAATGTGACATATCTAGTTGTTCATGTTGAACTCAAAGATAAGAAAATCAAAATCAGTTATTCACATTAATAACTTGTGGAGTTTTGTACTAATGTGGAACATATAAATAAATATAACCTTAGAATGTTAACATTTTTTTTAAAGGTTGTTATTATTAAGAAAATATCAGTATACATTTTTATTTGATTTGTTTAAATGTTAACAACAGGTATTTACAAGAAGTTTTCAGTATTACCTGTACCATCTCTGTACTTTCAGTCTTTAGTTTTACCAGATAGCATAACGTAATTTTTCAACTGAGTATGCCTAGACATGACATCACATTTTATAAACAAAAAATACATTATGCTTATATCAAAGCATACATGTGGACATTAAACACATAAAAAAATTATAAATTCCAAGAAGGCAGTTTCTGAATGAAAAATATTACAATTATAATGGGTGGTGATTATTATTATCATGCAAACATTTTTATTGTACTTATTTGTATTAGATTTATTAATGAGATAATCGTTATATACTTTATTCTCTGTGAGGTGTGACAATATTCTTTCATTATTAAGTATATAATAAGTATAAAGCATATGAAATTAATACCATAATAATTCATAAAATAATTAAAAAAATATATGAAATAAATTAAAAATTCAGTAGATAATCGTTAAGCTCAAATGGTTAAATGTATGGAGTATATTGAGAATTTTTTCTGGGAACTTTAATAGTGATAACAATATGCTTGAATCAACCAAACTGTGAATTAATTTAAAAATAAATTATGGCATCACTGATTTCTCAAACATTTTGGATAGAATCCATACCAAGTTCGTTGAAAAGATTTTGTTCTTAGGAGTATTCACCTCACTGTATTACTTGATAAGAGTAATGTTTCTATTAACATTCTTTGATTTTTTTTAATAGTAAACACTAATCTGATGGAATCTAGATATTTATATCAGTGAAATATTTTCACACCTTATATCTTTCATATCTTCTTCTTAATTAATTTGAAATATCATTTTTCAATTATCAATGAATGATCAAAATAATTGAAAGTTTCAAATTATAAATTTCTCTTTTTGAGAAACAACATTTAAGGATTTCCACTTTCCCAGTAATTATAGATACAAAGAGTGGGGAAATTCCAAAAGGAATCACACGTTAAAAGGTAAGACCTCGTTAGTCCTTAGCTCGCACAAGTTTCTCAAATTCTGAGAGTTGTCGTTCGTATGGGGGCGACAGCTGATTAACGGAAAAACAGATTTTAAACAGATTTAAACACAAAAGTAGAGGACGGAGAAGGTTTTCAAGTACTAATTTAAAAAAAATATCTTTCCCAACAAACTACTGTCAATTACTAACATTGACCAACATGGAAATCTCTTTTTCTTATTTAGTTTTTACAGCAAATATTCGTGATAAAATCACTTGTTCCTAATTAAAAGTATTTTTTTCATATAGATTTGTTTCTTTTGGTTTGCACTACAAAGAAACAACTGAGTATGATCTACACATCTTTCTAAAAAGTTTTGATATTTTTCCGTTTTTGGAAGTCCACAATTTTTTATACAGGGCTATTCAAATTCGTTTCTGTACATGGGGATCTCGTAAACGATAGGAGATAGAGTGTCGGTTAAATTGTGACAAAGTTGCGTGTTTTAGAGACCTATTCAATGATGTAAAAAAATCGAATATAGCTCTTTTGGTTCTGGAGATATACAGGAAAAACCAAAAAATCCCAAATAATTTTTTTGCCTATATCTTCTTTATTCGCAGACATATTGAAAATCTGTCCACATGTTGCTATTGGCACTTGATGTGGGCTATCAGAATATGTCATGGAATCTTTTATACAGGGTGTCATCTGACTTGGGCCACACCCATCTTTGAATTTTTAAATACGGACCTGTATTTTTTGTTGTAGTTTATGTATCGCAGACATTCACTTCATACTGAGAAATTAAATTCAATTTTATATTTTAGGATGTTTCGGTAATATTTGATTATAATTGTGTGAATTATTCCCTTTTAAATTACTGCCCTGGAAATTGGTTGGCCTGGTTGAATAAAAACACAATAGCAACTTTAACGTCTCCCTATTCATATTTTTCCCATTGCTCCTTGCTTTTTCTACAATGAACTTCGAATAAGAAAACCTTTTATCATTATCGGAAACATATCTGTAACAAAAATATATTATATGTGTTTTGATGAGCAGAAAAAGAAATTATAGCAATAATAACATCCGAAACGAACACTATAATTGTAATGAAAATTGAAATGAAGTAATTTATACACACACAAAAATCAATGGCGCAATAAATGTTCGAATTGGAGTCCTTCCATTTCGAAACAAATAATGGGTCAATAAGATGGCCTGCACGATCACCAGATCTTACTATTTTGGACTATCTCCTATGGGGGACAGTGAAACATACGATTTACGCTGGCAGAGAGATAGAAAATGTGGAAGACTCGAGATTGAGGATTTTGAATGATTTCACAACAATGCTTCAAATTAGTTTATTAACGGCGATAAATAATATGAAAAACCGAGTTCAAAAATGGCTCCAAATGGAAGAGCTCCAATTCGAACATTTATTGCGCAATTAATTTTTTTGTGTATATAAATTACTTTATTTCAATTTTCATTACAATTATAGTGTTCTTTTCGGATGTTATTATTGCTATCATTTTTTTTTTCTGCTCATCAAAACACATATAATATATTTTTGTTATTGATATGTTTCAGAAAATTATAAAAGGTTTTCTTATTAGAAGTTCATTGTAGAAAAAGCTCGGAGCAATGGAAAAAATATCAATAGGTACCTAAGAATGAAAAAAAAGTCTCGAAAAACTCTACGGTACATAGGGAGACGTACCAGGCCAACCAATTTCCAGGGCCGTAATTTAAAAGGGAATAATTTACACAATTATAATCAAATATTACCGAAACATCCTAAAATATAAAACTGAATTTAATTTCTCAGTATGAAGTGAATGTCGGCGATACAAAAACTACAACAAAAAATATAGGTCCTTAATTAAAAATTCAAAGATGGGGGTGGCCCAAGTCAGATGACACCCTGTATAAAAGATTCAATGACATATTCTGATAGCCCACATCAAGTGCCAATGGCAAAATGTGGACAGATTTTCAATATGTCTGCGAATAAAGAAAATATAGGCAAAAAAAGTATTTGAGATTTTTTGGTTTTTCCTGTATATCTCCAGAACCAAAAGAGCTATATTCGATTTTTTTTACATCATTGAATAGGTCTCTAAAATACTCAACTTTGCCACAATTTAATCGACACTCTATCTCTTATCGTTTATGTACAGAAAACGAATGTACAGTAACGAATTTGAATAGTCCTGTAAATAAATGGAGAAGGAAGCCAAAAAAGTTTTTTCTTAAAAATTTCCTATTATATCAACAGTTAATAGTTAGTCATCTCAGGTATCTTGGCAATTATTTGGTGTACTTATAATAAACCATCGAAGTTTCATTCAACAGAACCTGAATTATTTTCGTGTTCATTGAACTGTATTTAAATTTCCTTACCTCGCAAAACATTCTAGGGCCCAACATCTTCAACTCTTTTGGAAGATAATCTTTGTACATGGAATGCAATTCAGCAAAAGAAGTTCTGCTCGGATAACCATATTCCATTAGCTCCAACACATTTGTCATACCGGAACATTTCAGTTGCATCAAACTCAAATTACCATCGAACTGCTGGTCCACCATTTTATTGTTAGGCTTGATGCAACGTATAAAGTTTGTACCCTACAATGAAAATTTATTTTGTGTGAAAGCTGTTTTATTTTTCTGAAAATGTTACTCACGTTACTTCTCAGTTTCTCCATCAGTTCCCCCAACTGAATTTTGAATTTGTTACTGACACTTGTAAAACCAAGTTTGCCCTTCAATGTATTAGACGTGGAAAACAAATTTTGAATGAACTTGATTTTACTCTCTTGAATGATTCCTTCCAGAGATGCATGAAGTGCATCGTTATTTTTGTCGATGAAATATTTCTGAAAATAACAAAAAACTTGTAAAAACAAACGATTTCCTGAAAAGGTACATCCACACTAACCGTTTGGTAACAAACAGCCCCAGCAAAATGTCTGATCAAAAATCCTTCACTCTCCCTAAGGCTTCTATGTGCCTTCAACTTGGAAGAACGGGGTAAACCTAGCCTATATTCCTTGGACCAAATCTTGTGAACTTCTTCAGTGAAATGAGCTGGGGATGGTTTGGGGAGTTTAGACTCTTCATCGAGTAGAGTTAAAATGCCCTTATTTTTGGTTTCAATGAGATCTGTAAGGAAGAAGTCATTGACATTCTGCTTTCCTTATGAGAAAATACCTCAACTTACCGATGCAGTCTTGATTATCAACAAATTTGATTTCTGGTATATTCAGGCCTTCCTTTTGGTACAGTTCTTGTTCGGATTTGAGAATTCTATCGTTAAAAAATTGTTGGAGTTTTTCATTGCAGTAATTGATGCAGAACTGTTCGAAACTATTAACGGTGAAGAATTCTGAAAAAACGTTTTCGCCACTAAGTACGGATGGTAAATAAATCATGTTTCGAGTCATTTTACTATAATTGCCTTGAACATCTTGTAGACATTTTATTTCAAAAGCAGACTTCATTATAAGGAAGTATTCGAAAAAAAAACTTAAAAGAGTCTTATATGTGATTACTTATATGTAGTCTGAACCCAAATTAATTTCTCGCAATTTTCGATGCACTGAAGAACTTTGCAACAGAAAAATTTTAAATTCTCATTGACAGAGCTCATCATATTGAAAAAATATAAAAGGAACAAATATAATAGGTACATCAGACAAAGGTAATCACCCTAGGACAACTTTTATAAAAAACTTTAGAACTGGTAATTAATCACATTTGAAATATATCATGAAAAATCAGTAAAACGATGGCTATTTTTGAGTGACGTTTTCATTGTTTCTTTTATTATTTTCACTGGTGGATGCTTTAATATTTTACAATCATTGTATATCAGAGAATCTTTGTGACAAGATTAGATTTTCAAAAACTACACCTGACGATTTTGATCTCCACAAACTTTATTTGAAAAATATATCACATGTTTCGCTAAATCATTAGCTTCTTCAAGCAAATCACTTGAAAAAGCTAATGTTTAACGAAACATGTTGTGATATATATTTTTCAAATAAAGTTTGTGGAGATCAAATCGCCAGGTGTAGTTTTTGAAATTACTATGGATCTTCATCAAGTAACGGCCGAATCAATCAGAAAAAAAAAGACAAGATTAGATAGAGGCTGGAATTGCTAATAAAATATTTTTCTATATGAACAGAGCTACTGGTGTCAGCGTCAGGATTTTATATTTAACGAATAATGGTCGACAAAAATTTATTTTTTGCTTTGTTATCCACTGTTATACACTTTTCAACAAGCGAAATGAATGAATTACTATTATTATTATTGACATTTCAGTGGTTGAGCCTCATTACCCATGCATCGAAATTTCGCATTTTTTTTAATTATTTCAAATTTGTTCGTTTTTGAATGCAGAATATAGACCACTCTGAAAGAATTTTGGAGGAGAATGCGAATATTTGGTGAATGAATTATTGAGGTCTGTGGTCAACTAGATTCAGTACTAGCAATACTAGGGCCATAGAATTACCATATTATTTAGCAAACAATTTGTTTGCTAAATTATCTCGTGATTATCAGTGTACTTAGCTTACCTACAAATAAATCGTTACAAAATATAACCATTCAACCTTAATCAGATGGTTTTTCCAATATCAAATCACTTATGTAATCAATTTTGACAATCTCTATTTTTCAATTATTGATAAATTTTATATCTTATCAGTTACATGTTTACTTGGTTATTTTATACATTTCAAATTCTGAAACATTGATAGATATAATAAAGTTTTTTCATTCATATTTAATGTAAATGAATTTTCATACTTTTTATTATCAGTTCAGCATTATTACCTTCATGGTATCTACTTATTTATATTGCTCGTTTCATTGTTTATTCATCGGAGTCTCCTCATCTTCTATTTTTTGTTCATAATTTTGTTTTTTCTTCATAAATACAATATTAATATTTTCAATGAAAATATTCTGGAATTAAATGATTTTAACACTACCTAACACAAATTAAATACAATTATAATATCAAAGATCTCCAAACGATTCAGAAATTATCTACAATGAAAGAGTTTTATGTGTATATAAGATTAATAAATAAGTAACATTCTGATCATTCCCATATTGATTTCAATTTAAGATCCAACGGTAGACAGCTGTTTCAGCCTATTGGGCATCGTCAGTACCGGGCAGGCGGTCCTCGATTGAAGACAAAATGTGAAAAACCAAGAAAAGTAAAGTAATTGTCTTCAATCGAGGACCGCCTGCCCGGTACTGATGATGCCTAATAAGCTGAAACAGCTGTCTACCGGTGGCTCTTAAATTGAAATCAATATGGGAATGATCAGAATGTTACTTATTTATTAATCTTTTGATTTTCATGGAATAATTTTCCAGCAGCCTGACTGCATTAACCTTTCTCTACTCTTATTCCTTTATATCTTTTTTCTCGCCTCATACCGGAAGACCCAAAGCGTAAACTCAGGGGCAATTCATTTTTAAATGGATGAAAAGGACAGGTAAAATCTTAATAAAATGTAAAAATGTTAAAAAATAAACTAAAAAAAATTATTTTGGTAAAATAACATTTTTTACAATATAGATAACGTCAAAAGTGATTACGGACGATTTCATAGAAATTTTGAATCCCTACATTTTTTGTTTCGACCTTTTTGCATACCTTTTTATGTTTTTGAGATATTTTCAAAAAATTGATTTTTGGGGTAGTTTTCAATTTTTAATCAACTTATAGTGACTATGAGACTATTAAAGTTTGCTGAATCAAAGAACAAGGCTTCCTAAGCTTATGCAAAAAAAAGGAAGATGCACCGCCAGAGAACCGCGATTTATTTTCTCAATTTCTCAATTAATGGTTGCTATAAACTTCAAAGTCAAAGTAACAAACCATGAAGAGTGAATGATGAATACATGTTTAAAGGCGGATTTCCACCAAATCGATAAAATTACAACAAAACAGCAACGGTATCGATTTTGACAAAACAAAAACTTGAGTTGTCAAAATCAGAAACATTTTGAAGACCCTGTCGCGGGCGACTGTTTCTGTCAACATTGAAATGTCCCATAGGCAGGCGGAAAGATCAAAAGGTTTCTGTATAGGCGGTCGGTGGCAACAACAAGCAAGTATTCAGATAAAACATATCTGTGATTTGTACTCTGTTTGAAAACTTTTGGTCCCAGTACATTTAACAAGTTCTCAAATTCGTGACTGAACATTCTTAGAAAATTAGGATGATGGATCTGACCATCGATTCCTATGTCATAATTTATTCAATCTGCCATCATTTTATTCGTTCGTTACTCCGCTACTACGCGACTATGGATGATTTTTGTCTGTTTGGTGGAATTCGAGTTTCGAGTTTGTTTTCGAAAGTGAAACAAGTTTTTAGTTTCTGTTTTTGAAAACGAAACTAGTCGCAAGGGAGACCGTTTGGTGTAAACCCGTCTTAATTAAAAAACTGAATGAAGTTAACATTATCCATTTGATAACATAAGTAAAAAAATTGCTTACCAAAACCAGCGATATCCAATACACCAATATAGTAACTAGAAGACTGGAATGGTATGCTCTTATTGATACGGTTAACAATATAATCAAAGAGGTTGCTATATACAGCTTTGGCAAGGGCATCTCTAGCGTTATTGGCTTCGTATTTCTTCAAAGGCACCATTATAACAGTGCCTTTAACCCCTCCTCTGCTGCTCTGCATAACCCTCGATACCAAAGCTTGCTTCAGTTCACTTGGATCAATTTCGAGCAACTTGGAAGCGATCAAGAGTGATTTTTCTCTGGAAGCAACCACTCTACAGCCACCCCTGGTATCTTCTGGGTTTTCTTCGAATTCAATGTTGCCAAGATGGAGGACAGCTGCCACAGTTGTGTAGATTTGCAGTCTTTCAGTGTCAGTCATACCCAAGCGGACTAATGCTTGATCCAATTCAGTGAAGCCATCTAGGTCATCAAGAATTATATCCCTCAGTGGTCCACCTTTTTTGTGGGCAGCACTTTTCTGTGCAGGATTTAGTTTTTTTTCATTTGCATTCGAAGCGAAGTATTTTGTACAGCCCATTTTCAAATACTGTGAACAAATTTAAAAGTTATGTATACCTATTATTCACAAAATATTATATTATCTGTAAATTATTCTCAAAAACAAATTACGGATTTTGAAAATGCAAAGTAGAATGTAAAATAGTGTAACAACCAGAGCCGACACAGTTCCAAAAATTGAGGAAACATGAATATAACAAAAATTTACCACTGAATTGTCTAGCAAGTTTAAAAATATCCACAATAAAAATGAATATATAAACGAAATCATATAGAAAATCGAATTAAAACAAAATGCATATTTCAAAAAACAATTTTGAAACATTCATATCTGCACTATACCTGCACCAAAGGTTTTGGCCTGCCTGAAAACACTACTTTCCCGGCTAATGCCACGCTAGAGATTGAATTATATCCGACAGACATGTATGCAAGATATCTCAGAGGTTAGTCTCGCAGATGTATCTCGTTCATCTAGCAGCAGGAACTTGCCGAAATTATTCGAGTAGATCACCTACAGACCGGTTTCGAGGTATTACCTCTCGCCAGTGCAGGAAAGATCCGAGCCAAACAGGAAAGTGCCTCAGACTCAATTGATTTTAACGCGGCTCGATTGCATAAAAAGCTTCGTCTAAGAGAAAGATTGTTAACTAGTTACAGCTCCATCTCGTGTACAAAACATTAACTTTTTTTCTGGACTTTTCTTCTGTTAATCTGAAAACTCTGATGATCTATTCCAGGGGTCTCCAAACTTTCAAGCCTTCGGGCCATAATGATTTTTTCAGTTTGTTCCAAGGGCCACTTTCTGCCTTTAACTATATTTCTAGACTAGGATAATCCAAAGTGCGTGACCTAAGCAAACTTACGCATTTTTGCATTTCAATTATTATTGTGTATTGTGACACTTAACGACATCTAGTGGCGAGTAGTGGTACTATGTACTATCTTTTTCAGCTACCCGCTAGGTGGCATTAGACGTAATTAAATATTTGGAATTACCGCGTTGGTTCGAGAAAGTTCTGGTTCTATCTAGTGTATTCCGATCACCTCGAGATGGCAGTAATAATTGCATATAAAAAGGCTAGCGGCGCAACTGCGAGTTAGTCTGCGTAGGAAAGGCGAAGGAAGCGAAACTGTCTATTGTAAATAAAGTAACACCCGTCAATTAAAGTATTTTGATTTGACTTATTGTTTTTATGTGTGATTTGTTAGTATGGAAAAGAAGCGAAAAATCGACAGTGAATGCAGGAAGTTCCAAGAAAAATGGAACTTTCAGTACTTTGTGATTGAGTCCAGTAATGAGGCGCTATGTTTAATTTGTAATAAAACCATAGCTGTTCTCAAAGATTATAACATTAAACGACACTATGAATCGAAACATCTTCAAAGTTACTCCAAGTATACAGGAAATTTACGGAAGGAAAAATTTGAAGCTTTGAAACGCGGACTCAAATGGCAGCAATCTTTGTTTACCAAAGCGAATACTGAACAAGAGTCTGCAACTCGCGCCAGCTTTCGTGTGGCTCTTGAAATCGGAAAACGTGGCAAAACATTCACCGATGGAGAAATGATAAAAGAATGCTTGATTGCAGTAGCCGAAGAAATATGCCCCGAAAAGGTAAATTTATTTAAAAGTATCAGTTTGTCAGCAAACACCGTGGCTCGGAGGGTGCAAGACATTGCAGAAAATATATCATCTCAACTGTCTGACAAAAATGGACATCATGAGTGGTTTTGTCTAGCATTGGATGAGTCAACAGATGTGTCAGATACTGCTCAGGTGTTGATTTTTATTTGCAGAGTAGATAAAAGCTATGAAGTGTATGAAAGAACTTCTTGATATTGATAGTATTCACGGCCCCACAACTGGGGCAGATATTTTTAAGGGAGTTGAAAATGTCATTAATAAAAAGAGCGAAATTTGAAATCTATAACAACTGATGGAAGCAAAAATATGTATGGTAAAAATAAAGGAGTGGTTGCACTTGTGTCAAAGGCTGTAGAAAATGATGGTGGTTCAAAACCATTAGTCTTACATTGTATCATTCATCAACAGTCTTTGTGCGGAAAATGTTTGGATATGTCTGAAGTTCTAAAACCAGTCATATCAGTTGTTAACTTCATCAGATCCACTGGGCTGAATCACCGACAATTCCGCGAGTTTATTCAACAGATTGGAGAAAATGATTTACCATATCATACTGCCGTACGCTGGCTTAGTTGCGGAAAAGTCTATAGGCGCTTTTTTGAACTTCGAGCAGAGATCGAATTTTTTTTAAATGAGAAGCAGCGCCCTTTTGCCGATTTAGAAAATATTGAATGGATGTGGAAGTTAGCCTTCTATGTCGATTTGACAAATCATATGAACGAACTGAATTTGAGATTGCAAGGAGAAAATCAGCTTCTCCCTGATTTATACACCAATATCAAATCCTTCAGGCAGAAAATAATAATATTTCAATCGCAATTACGTAAAAAGTTTTACCTTGCAAGTAAATAAAACCGAGTAATTATCATTATGTGTTTTCTTCTTCAACTTATCACAGCAATAGTAACAACAATTAGGTAATCATTGGCTGTCGCGGGCCAGATTGATGACAGTAAATCATTGGCTGTCGCGGGCCGGATTGATGACACTGGCGGGCCGGATTTGGCCCGCGGGCCGTAGTTTGGAGACCCCTGATCCATTCAGTCACGTTATGCGGAAATTTGAATAATTTAAGATCCAGAGAATTTATTATCCATATATCAAGTCTGAACTTCGGCTATCTGAAACTTCTCGTACTTTTAGTTTCATAATTATGATAATTCAAGTGTTTGGAGAGAATAGACAAAAGTCTATGATGGCGTAAGTAGATCAACCCCAGATGAGTATCCCATATAAAAGGTGACAGAGGAGGAATAACAGGAAGTGAGAAAGTGTTTCATGGCTCAATGATTTTTTCAACTGACAAAGCAAAAACAACTATGTGGAATGTTTTCCCCATTGTCATTATCACGCTCTATTTCATTAAACCTATAATCACGTGAGTTTATTTTTCTTAATCGAAAAGTTTTTCTTCTACAATATTTTCCCCCTCTTTTTCAACCTTGAAGGAAGTGACTACTTTAGCAAATTCAATAATTTGTGCTGGTTTCCATATATGATTTTCTTACAACACCGCATTTTGACCTGACAAATTCAACTTCTTTCATTCTGGCATCATTATCCTACTGCGCCATGTTATAACATGACGCAGTAGGATAATGCTGCCAGAATATATCATATAACATTATCCTACTGCGCCATGTTATAACATATGGCGGATAATGATATATAGGATAATGATATCTATGATACTTTTTATTTTTTACAACTTTCTCACATCATTACTACATCTCCAAGTGTCGAACCTCAGGAACTACATAGAGTAATGTTAATTAACAATAATACAATATATGGAAAGGAGTACAACTGAATACTAAGTTCTGGAGTTCTATCCCAACACCAAACAGTGATATCAGAATTTGAATTTAACACTGTGGCAAAGCAAATTTATATAGTAAATAGATGATAAAACACGATTTATATAGATAACAAAGAGAAATTGGCCCATGATGGATCCTTGAGGTGTTTCATGATGCATAGGCCTTTGATCTGATAAATTACTCTTTACGAATACTACCTGTTCAGACACATACAACCTTTCTACAATAGAAGACGTCAAAGAAGATGACCATCAGACCTACGAGGAAACTGAGGAAGCTGGATATTTATTTCTCGAATTTACCACAAATATAATATGAATTAATCAGTTGTAAATATAACAGGTAACCAAGATTTCAAATACTTACATTGAAGTCGTCTGGTTGCGTCAAGCTCAGCTGATTCCTCAACCCTTCCGGAGCCCCTGCCATCAGCATGTAAAATATGTGGTAGCTTCTTTCGTCTCCTTCGGTAGAACAAATCCTGGATTTTTCCAAGAGATAGTGGGATATATATCCTCCAGCCACTTTGAACTTATCATCGAAATGGAGTTCGATGAACTTTCCAAACCTAGAACTGTTATTATTCCTGGTAGTTTTAGCGTTTCCGAACGCCTCCAAGACCGGATTGGCATCAAGGATTTTCTTCTCCAGAGTGCCAACTGCAGCTCCCCAGTTATCGCAGAGGAACTTCAGCAGATGCTTGGTCGATTCGGTTTTTCCGGCTCCGGATTCTCCACTGACTATTATAGATTGTGATTGTTTCAGTACATACATGTCACGGTAGGCTTTGTCAGCTATAGCAAATATATGAGGAGGTTTTTGTCCGAGGGATTTTCCTTTGTACGTTTTGATTGTTTCAGGTGAGTAGAGAGATGAAATGTCTTTGTAAGGGTTGACTGCTATCAAAATGTTGGCTACGTATGACTGAAAAATTCAAAGAAAGGAGTTTGGAGAGCTATGCAAATTCGAGTTATGGAAAGTTATTGGAATTGTCGCAGAGTTGACCGTTTTAGAGTACTACTGAATGATACCAGTAGATCAACTCGTTTACACTTGGCTAAATTAGTGTTAGTTCACTAATGACAAACTTAAAATAAAATATTGGAACATTTGAGCATCTATAACTAATGAAAATATGTCTGTCATTTTGATTTGTCATTTTATGAAATCTTTCATGTTATTCATCGATTCACTTCATATTCATTTCATGTTTACGAGTACATATTTATATCTTATGTTTTTATACAATTACCATCTTGTATTTTATAGAAAGTCTTGATGAAGAAAATGAACAATTTCGAAAGCTCGACTGAATCGAATTTATTTTATTTCTTCGTTTGAAAGAGAATAAAGATGAATAAAAAAATAATATACTGAAAATATGTACGTTTTTTCTTAAAGAAAATATTCAACACCGAATTTCTCGATAACAAACGTACCAATTTTGAAAAAAAACAGAGAGTGCTTTATTGGATACCCTTCATTTTTTAATTACGAAAGAGGAAGTTTTTGTAGGAATGCTCTGTATAAATATGTCTTTTTTGCATTTTTGGTAAGCCTCTCCTCCAAGGGGAGCACTAGATTGGATAATGTGTAAGAAGAACGCCTTTAAGCGTTTTTTTTGAACACAATAAAAAAATTGTTATTATCAATATCGACGCATTGTTTATTGTTTCCCAGTTATAAACCATACCACAGTATACTATGACAAGACTATACATACTGTCATTGAATGATTTGCCGAAACCGAAAATACCTATCTTCATTCACATCAGCAATTAAATTTGATTTACGAGCATGTTATATTTGTCTTATGGAATCTCAGAATACTTACATATATTTTGTCAGCATAATACCGAGTACGTATATTGTTGAGTAAAGTCCCTTCATTCAGATACATCATTTCACCTAAAATGATTATCATTTATTAAAATTGTTCTTGAAGATTTTTCAACATGTTTTTTAAAAAATATAGTTGGTATTACAGGGCGGGTACTCACAATTGTCCTCATAGTCCTTGTCCTTATCTGGGTTGGCAGTGAAAATTTCATTGAATGGAAGCACCCTTTTAGGAAATTTAGAACTTAAAGGTATTACTTCGGCTCCATCTGCAAGGATTTCTGTGATTCTACCCAAGACGTAACCTTCGGTATGGTCACGAGCCCACACAGTTTCCTGCATGTTTTATTCTGAAACAAAAAAAATTATTGACGATGCCATCAGTGAAGTAGCTAGTGAAATTTGTATAATTTTAAATGAAGCATTACAGTGGCTCCATTTTCCCGTAGAAAACATGATTTCAGAACAACAAAATTGTCTTCATCAATATCAAACAGTGAAGTCAAAATTTACGATTTTTGAGATTCAGAGTAATTTTGTGAAACTTGTCGTTAATACTGATCACAAAGTATATTGAAATATTCGATTTTCGAACAATTGGGGCACTAAAAAACAATACGAGTAATAGTTATCGAAAAGTATGTTTTGAAATTGTCAAAGTTTGGTCGGAATTACGTAATTATTTTTTTTTTCAAAGAAGTCTCCTTTGGAAAAAATGAATCTCAAGAAATTGTAGTAATGTAAACAATGTAAGCTGTCAAACGATAAAGATACGTCATCAATTTGTGGGACAAAATTTGGTTTTTATTTTTTTTTATGTGGTATTGAAAAAAAAACAACCCTCAATTAACCCTTGTATAACCAATCCCTATTTTTCATAGCCATTTTAGAAATTAAATCATTTTAAACCTTGATCATAGATCAGTTATTTCCGCCAGGAGTATACCGGTGTCACTTCTCACTCAGTAAACAGAAAGGAGTAGGGATGAGAACGAAGCCGGTCTCATTTCTCGGTCACACAATAATCCTTCTCTCACTCCCTACACAGTTTTCGGCCACTATTATTGTTTATCCATCGGACGTAGATACAGTTTGCATTGCCACTGAAGCTGTGAATTATCCAATTGTGTTTGCCAGGCATGCCAACGCATAATTTAAAACTGAAGGTTGGATTGTTCCGTAATTTGAATCCACCACGGCTGTGCAACGACTCGCGATTACTCATTACAAGATTAATGAACAACGTTGTCGAAGCCAGTATTTTGAATATCAAGTTCCGAGGTTAAAACATAATAATACCATTAATTCCTATTATACCTACAGATGTGCCAATTCATTTTAAACGTGTGCGATTTACAATTAGATTGACATTTGCGATGACTTCAATCAGTCCCAAGGCCAAATAATATCTGTTAGTGGCTTGGATTTGAGCATCATGTTTTTCGCACGGACATTGTACCATTGAAAAATATTGTACACACTATAGCATGAAGGGATTAATATATTTTGTAAGTGTTATTGTTCTGATAGAAATGCTTTCTGTGGCAAAATAACGTTTGCCGGGTCGCTAGTGAAAGTATATATTTTATCGCATGTACATTCTCTCGCCGGATCAACTGTATAGCTCTTTCGTCACTTCCGACATTTTTATGTCTAGTATTCCAGGAATTTATTATTTCAAAGTTCACCATGATTTAAGAATTTCAGTTTCGATAGGGATTGAATAAAACATACTTTCAGCAAGTTGTAAGAAACGTCATTGACATTTTCGATAAATGAATTATGCTCCTACGAAATATCCCTGTTGACATCTGCCAATCTGCCTTTTCAATAATTACTATTAATTAATAATATGTATTTTCTTTTGATTCAGTAAGTTTTATTATTATTTTCCATCGTAAAATCGAATCGAGTATATGTAGTATAAGAAGTAGCGGACATCGATGTTTCGGAATGAGACACTTGTCTTATTACCCCTTCAACACCAATTTGGATGACATTACAAGATGAAGCACTCAATTCACTCAAATTGATGCTGAAGAGGCAATAAAAATAGTGTCTTATTTCGAAAAATTGATGTCCGCCATTGAAATAGCAGTGTTCCAAGTAAGTGAAGTTTTACCTCTTTCATTTATTATATTGTGTAGCAATCCTGTGAATAATATCTGATTCAATTCCATAACGAATGTTTGGAGTTCAAACTGAATGAGAAAAATGGTTTTTTGTATAATTCAATGTTCATATGAAAGTAGTTGTTTCCACAGAGTTTTTTCTTCCAGTTTGTGTCTGAAAGTTACTTCTTTGCAAAATCTACACATCTATATAAAGGGCTTATTTTGAAATTAATTGCATTCTTATTTTTTATTAAGTTTCCCGCATTTTTTGTAAAGAGTAATAAGATAATAAAGTAATAAGAGTGAAAGCGTCTGTTTTAGAATTGAAGATGAGAAAGAAACGGAAATTCAAAGTTAGAAATTATGCATCAGAAAACATAATGCCTCAAGTCACAATGGAACACACAAAACACGGCATATTGTGATAAGCATTCATTCACCAAGCACCTGACATGAGAACAATGAATAACACTCACGTAGCCACAATAACTTCCAGCTTATTGATAGGACGTATGTTCTACTTCATCAAGGAAGATAATAAATTGTGGCTAGACCTCAAACATGTTAGTTTGTTAATTCTTAATATATGCGGCAAAATCGAATAACAGAATTTCCTCCTGTGAAAAAGACATGAACTGAAAAACTTCAAATTTTTTCTTTAGATTATCCTGTCTAAAGACATTTGAAGGTCAGCCTTTACCAGCCTTTACAAAAAACTCCCAAATAAGTATCAACAAATAACTTCAGTTCTTGATATTTGACAAAAATTGAATTTCTCATGGATGGGGTGCTTTTACGATGATGTATACACATTGCCAAAATTCTTGGACCCCCCTCGTAAATTGTAAAACAAAATATTTATCATGGCTGGTTTTTTGTACATTTCATCTTTATTTCTTTCACCTGTGCTAAGCATGCCTTACAAAAACAATTCCCTCTAATGTTAAATATCAATGTTTAAAAAGTGGTTCGATTGTTGATTTCCTCCTTTTCAAAACTCTATGAGAAAATAATAGGTAATAGAATTTTGATGTATATTGAACAAAATGACCTTTTCTGCAATAATCAACATGGTTTTAGGAAGAGTAAATCAATTGAATCTGCATCTTATCAACTATTGAACTATATTTATGCACAAGTGGATAATAATAACCTAGTTTTTCCACATTTTTCAGATCTATCAAAAGCATTCGATACTGTTTCTTCCAAATTTCTATTGAAAAATTACTAGTAATGGGTTTTCCCAATATTATGTTGTGTTGGATAGAATCGTACATGGAAAACCGTAGTTTGGTGGTTAAATGTAATGGAATTACATCAGTTCCTTATGATGTGAAACTAGGTGTTCCACAAGGGTCTGTTCTGGGTCCATTGTTATTCTTGACTTTTATCAATGACTTGCCTGAATTCATATCAGATTATCACATAACTATGTACGCTGACGATACTACAATCACTGTTTCGGGAAAAAATGAGAATGAATTATCGATGAAAATTAATTTAGTTATTGACGAATTCAGTAGTTGGTGTCAACGTAACAAACTGATTTTAAATAAATCTAAGTCTGTGCTGATGAAAAAATTTGTTAGGAGGGATTTCTGTTGCAATTTAGTCACTTTGAATGACATAAAAATATCAAAAAGAAGTTGATTTTCTTGGAACTATTTTAGATAAGAATCTCACCTGGAGAAGTCACATACAAAAAGTGTGCAGTAAACTCAATTCCGCTTATTATTCGATCAAACAGTTAAAACTTTGTTTAGATAGGTTTGGTTTACTAAATGTTTACTTTGCGAATGCATACTCACACATTAGTTTCAACATAATGGCTTGGGGATGTGCAAAGGAATTTTCTAGAGTTTTCATCTCTCAAAAACGACTGATAAGATTGATATTCAACCTGGGATACCAAGAAAGTTGTAGGCCCGTTTTCAAAAGAGAACGCTTGTTGACTGCACCCGCAATTTATATAATGAAATGTGTCATTTTTGTGCCCAGGAACCTTGACTTGTACATAACGAACGAAACCAGATTTGGTTTAGTTAGTGTTATTCGGCGACACAGAGTTTGGAGAGGGCCAGGGCGACAAGAAAGACTATATTTTGCTATAGAAGTCGTTCCATACCAAGGAGGATCAGTAATATTTTGGAGGGGCATCATGCATGGTCGTCGTACGCAGCTTATTCCCATTCCAGATACTATGACAAGGGTTACATATGTTCGAAACATTATCGAACCAATTATTCATCCTCTCCGGAATAAAATTGGAGCCAATTTCATTTTCATGGATGACAATGCTAGGTCCCATCGCACAAGAATTGTACAAAATTCACTAGAGATTGAGAATATTCAAAGATTACCATGGCCAGCAAATTCACAGATATGAATCCCATTGAGCACATATGGGATTCCGTTAAATGAGCAATCTCAAACAGAATTAATCCTCCTAGCACCCTCCCGGAGCTCACAATCGCGGGAGTACAAGCGAGTTAATACCTTACTACAGAACAGAGGAGGACACACCGAATATTAATGCATTTTTTTTTCACTCTAACATGGTTTTCTTCTACATTTCAGATTCTGGTGATCATTTTATTATGCGCTATTTTTCGTTTGTATTTTTTTCTTGTACAGTTAAAATTAAATTCAGCCAATTTGCATTGGTTACATAACCAAATTGAATGTACTTTGTAAAACACTTCTCAACTTATGATAATAATATCTCACTTTGACAAACATAAGGGGGTCCAATAATTTTGGCGAATCTTTAATATGAGTTGGGGTTATGATCACATTATTTGAGATTTGAGACATTGAGATATTGTGTATAATATTCTGTAAGATATTTTTTATTGTATATAATTCTTCATTAACGGGGCCAATTAAAAGAAACTGTATTGCTGTATGGAGTTGAGCATTTGATAATACACTGACTAGTTTTCATCCCATCTCTTCCGAGAAACATGAAAATTTACCTTATAATTATTATATCCGACAGGCATTTATGCAAGTTACCGTATAATTCAATGTCCATCGTGGTGCTAGCTGGCAAAGTAGTGTTTTCCGTCAGGCATTCATAAGAATCTACTATGTAAGAACGTTGGGAAAGATTATTGTTTCGAAATTTCATGTCGAAATTTTCAAATACAATCATTTGTTTGATTTTATACTTTGACTTTTAAATCACACCACTCAATTTTTTGTTAAATAAATTCTCAAAATTATTCAAAAACTGAATGTTAAAGCGGGGCACCATAAACTCCTTTTAAAAATTTACATAAATTGGTAGAATTTCAAAAGTCCTCTTCCTAATAGTCATATATAATTTCAGTCAACATACAAATAAAATTCAGTTCCAGTGTCAACTTAGAAATTATGCCCATGTCTGTCCTTCCCGTAAATTAGATGAATTGCATGATTGTAGCGGAAATTACCTCAGAAAGGGTAGCATACTTTCCCGGTCGAGATAGACGTGTAGTTCCGGTTATCAAAATCAGATCTAGCGGATGTACGAGAGCTAGTCACAATGATTCAGTCGGAGTCATGGTCAATTAAGTATTGAGTTCATCAAAGAGCACAAATATAGCATGAGATTCGAACAACACTAGTGGACAATACAAAAAGGAAATTATTAGTATTTTTACTTGAAAAAGAGGATTCAGAGTACCGGTTATTACTTGGAAATATGAAACACAATTTAGTTATATTTTGTTCTGTATATCGCTTGTTCTCCAGAAACATCGAGATTTCAATTCAGTAAAAACATAAAGTTGAAACAGGTGGTCCAGTGATTATTGAAATTCCTAAATCCGTGATGAAAAAAAAACCATACATACAATATTCATGTAACATCAATAATTTCCTACACGAATGTAACATTTTCAGTAATAACCACGAATATATATGATGGAGATCAACCCACAGTGTAATTATTCTTTTTACTCAAAATATTACAGACTCAAAGAGAAAATACTTAGCACTCGGTATGTTATTAGAGCTAGTAAAAGTATTTGACTGTGGCAAATAGTAGTAAGCATGGGAATTCATATACAGTGAGTCTCAAATTGTTCCCTTCTAATGTAAAACTCATCTCATCTCAATCCTGGATAACACAGACCAAATTCGAAAAAAATCTCGTAGGGAAAGTAGTTCAGAATGACATCATTCACTCGAATATAAATGTATGCCCTTCTATCGCTCAAATTTCTATTATTCACTCTTGAGGCTAATTTCCTCATTTTTACTTCATATAGATCAAAATAATGAGTGAACCAAATAATTCAAGTTATTCCAACGTAAAACGTGAGTCATTTGAGAATTCAACGAATGATTTCTGCTGTTTTCAAATCAAGTTTCAAAACCTGTTTTTATTAGCGCCCTCTAAATATTTTGTGTTCTAACTGAAGAGCAAAATGCAGACAAACCAGTTTCTTTTCGAATTTCTACTGTGATTCTACTGTGTCATGGTATATACTGATCCACAGTGAATTTTATACTATTTACATTGATGCTGCTCCTTTTTTCCAATTTTAATTATTTTCCTCTTTTCAGCTCATTACTATATCTATTAAAAAATCTGTTTAAAATCTGTTTTTCCGTTAACCAGCTGTCGCACGCAAAATTCGCCAAGTTGTGGTCTGTGAAATGCCGAATTCTTGTGAGGGCCGCGATATCGACTGCCTCGGAATCTCCTGCACAGTTTCACAGACAGCGGCGATGTTTTCGGCAGATCTTGCGTGTTGGTCGATTGTTTACTGAACCACCACATTGCGAATAGTCCTCTGGTTAGGACGATTATGGCGACCGTTACGCTAGTTGCACACACATCGATTTTGGACGGCCTGTATAAAATCGGCCGATATTTTATTGGTAGCGGGTGCTTGCACACTCACCGGATTTTTATCGGTAAAACAATCAGTTGCTTTGTTGTTGTAATTAGCACGTACTACCAAAACGAAGTTAATGGGTAGTAACTACAATTTCACCAAGCATTCGAAACTGGAATGGTCGGTAAAAAACCGGTGAGTATGCAAGAGTGTATTTAGTCATGTACGCCACTACTTTCTGGTACTTCCGGCGATACAGTGGCAGTAGACGGCTGCTCACCGGTATTTTACCGGCGATGATCACCGGTCGGCGTGTGTGCAAGGTCCCGTTCCCACATGTGGTTCACTATTGGAATTTGGACGACCGGTACAAAATCGGCCGTCCAAAATCGGTGTGTGTGCAACTTACGCTAGTTGGAATGGTCGGTAAAAAACCGGTGAGTATGTGTATTTGGTCATGTACGCCAATACTTCCCGGTACTGCCGGCGATACAGTGGCAGTAGACGGCTGCTCACCGATATTTTACCGGCGACGATCACCGGTCGGCGTGTGTGCCAGGTCCCGTTCTCACATGTGGTTCACTATTGGACCGGTACAAAGTCGGCCGTCCAAAATCGGTGTGTGTGCAACTAGCGTAACAGCCTGGCCACGGGACATTCGCCGATGCGAATATTCGGGCAGTGCGAACGGTGAAACGTCTAGCGACTAAAATAAACGCATAGCAATGTACTTACGAAGCCACGCGCAACGGCAAACGGCGAAGCGACCGGCTAAATGTACTGAGCGAACCGCGTGGGTGACTTGCGGCGCGGCGGGCGAGCAAAACAAAGACATGCATCAGTATGGCGCGAGCCACGGAGTCGAACGGCAGTCGCGGCGAATAGTGCAGTGATCAAACGAGTTTAGCTGTTTTCGCCGCGAAAATGAACATCGAGACTTTATAGTAGTATAGTATAGTAGTATACTACATATAAGTACCATCGAAAAGACTGTCTGATTATTATGAATCAAAATGATTGAAAAGAACAAAAAAGGCTGATAAAAAATGTTAGAAACTCATTTTTCATTCTACCGTCAATTACAAGTCATATGTTTTTTGTTTTAGTTGTACAAAAAATTACTGTCATATAATTTAGATTTTTGCAATAAATAACATCATTGAAAGTGTTTTTATTTCATGAAATATTAATATACAGGGTAACATTTAATTACCAGGTAATATTTTGGGCAAAGATAGTTCCAAATAAATAGTTATAAAAAAATCCGGTTGCGACCATTACTTTCTTGGGAACAGTTGTTCATTACTGACGGATAATGTAGGTAATTTGTTTGAAGGTGGTTGACAATGTTTCGTGGTGTATTTCATCAGTTTGGACTTCCATTGTCTAATATAATATAAATTAATTTTCAAATCAATTTATATTATATTACACAATGGAAATCCGAACTGATGAAATACACTGTAGGTAATTATACATAGGTATATAAATAAATACGTGATGTAGATTAATATAGATGGATGTTTAGATAGGTAAGTACATATCTGTCAAAAACAATTTTTCAGCGGCACTTAAAATTCTTTTTGCATCAACTTTTTTATCCAATTCTGGTTGAATATTCATGAGAATATAATCGAAGGTTTCAATACTCATTCTGGTATACTCAAAAAAAATTTCTGGATATAATCTGTATTTCTCGTATTTCTTGTAGAGTTCTCCATCTATACCCCGATCTTTATTCAAATCATGTACTCGACAATCTCTTCCAAATATTAGGTCTTCAACCAAAAAACTATTACTTTCTAAGCAATATCGAGATAATTTCGATAGACATTTCGCTGTCGGACTACTGGTCGCGGCGGCAAACGTGACTGCCCGTGGCCTGCAAACGGTGCCGCGCGAATGATCGCCTCGCCCCTCGCTTCGATCCCCGTGGCCAATTTTATTATTTGCACGTGCTGTTGAATGCTATATCATCCGTCCGTGGTGATTTGGCAAAAGAGACTGAATAAATGGCAACTAATTTTACAGATGTAGTTTCAACATGACGGTCGTTATTAATTGTTAAAGTTCGGAACCATTCCGGTGCCTTATCATTTTTATATAGACCTTTTTTCAAATATGTCAGTATTATCGATGTCAGGTTTTAGCACACCCGGTATTTACTTCTTTATTTCAGTAGAGGAGGATGATAGACAACCTGTTGAATATTTTGTCATGGATATCGTTACAACTATCCTAAAAAAACATAATTACGTGAAGATAAAACTCCAATATTTTCTTGAACCTTGCACTAATTCATACACAGGTTACACTCTGGCACTACGTGTACTAAACCATTAATATGTTCGCCTCCGACGATAAAGATTAGTTATTATAAAAGTGCAGATAAAATGCTGATAACATTTTATCGAATCTAATTCCAGTTATTGGTCTTAATGAAAAAAACATTCCATTTGTAACTAATAATAGATACGACAGAATAGAGTAATAGATTCAATCGAGTAAATCAGTAAAGATAATTACAATTATTGCAATCAAACTATCGATAAACGTCCTACTAACAATTGAGATTGATAAAGTTGTACAGTAGTTGAAATCGATGTTCAAACCAACACAAATAAAAGCTCAAATCTGAGAAATATTTATGTGATGGAATTGGCCGATACTTGATGATACAAAACCGCAACACGTGTTTCGTGTCAGAAGAAGCTATTGTATAGCGAAACACGTGTTGCAATTTTGTAAACTGTTCAGTGAATATCTCACAATAAAGTGTTACTTCAATATAAGAAATATTTGTCAAAAGCTCTCAACATATAACCCATCCTTTTTTTATTCAACGGTCCTGTGTAATACTCATTATACAGGGATGACGATGTCTCAAGGAGGTGCAGAGATAAACCTTATACAGAGTGGACCAACGAAAACATCTTGATGTTAAAACCGAATTTCCTCGGAACAATTTGCATTTCTGTTGCGAATCGCAAAATAACTGTTGCATTGAGCATTGATACATGGTCCTCCATTAGGCGTTTTGTATAGGTATTTAAATTAAAAAAAAAGTTTGTGAGATATCATCGACTTTTTTTATTCGTTAGAAATACCTATTGATGCAATTATGCGTAGATCAAAACATCATTCAAATATTCACCACGGCTTTTCTAGGTGGAGCGTGCAGAATATCCAATGTGGTATGAGCTGTGTGGACGTAGCGCCATTCTGTTGAAATTTGTTTCGGGAAACCTAAGCCTTCAGAAGCATGTCATCGAAAATAAGACGTGCACCAAATTCCTAGGATTATGGATTGATAATACCCTGAAGTTTGATGGGCACGCAAAACATGTCACCAAAAACTTGCATATGGCTGCTACGCTATCAGTGTCACCACCAAGGAGTTGGAAATAAGAGCAGGAAAAACATCTTACTTTTCATTAGTAGTCTCTTCTGAGGTATGGTATCGCTTTCTGGGGTTTATGTTGATTCAATCAGTGTTTGTTCTACAAAAAAGGTCGATAAGATATATATGTAGAGCCAAGCGTTTGGACCACTGTAGACCACTCTTCATCAAGAGTACAATAGCAACAATCTACTATATCTTCATTCTAGAAACAGTATGTTTAATTCAAATGAAAAAAAATACTTTTCCTTCCGAAAGAATATACAGGGCTTTTCATGATGAGCGGTAATTAGCCGTTTCTGACAAACTATTTAACGTATCAACCTGAAAATTTCACAGTATATATAAATCAATATGATCTACACGCCTAAAATATTTCAGACGAAGCGGCGTTGTCGCTTCTACTATAAAGTAGCGGCTTCTTTGATTTTTCAAATGGAACACCCCGTATATAATATCATATTATGATTCATTATCACTTTGTCAACAAATTCATATACTATTTCCCTATACCTATCTATTACCGTTTAGAAGATATGAATTAATTTCGATATTTTTTTTTACCAAACATGAACTTTTATAAATGCTGATAATCTTGAACTCTCTTGCACTAAAACGATCAAATTTGAAATGGAGTGGAGTGATACTATGAGGATCTTCACTCCGAGTCATATTTTCATTTGCCTCATACAGGGTATTCAAAAAATGCAGATACTTTGATCTCATGAAAAAGTGAGTGGAACTCAATTTTTTCAAATGGAACACCCTGTATATTTCAACATTTTTGAGCTCTACATCCAATTTTAGATTAACTCATGAAAAAATTGAGTTACAATCAATTCAGATCAAAGTATCTGCATTTTTTGAAGACCCTGTATGAGGCAAATGAAAATATGACTCGGCGTGAAGATCCTCATAGTATCACTCCACTCCATTTCAAATTTGATCGTTTTAGTGCAAGAGAGTTCAAGATTATCAGCATTTATAAAAGTTCATGTTTGGTAAAAAAAATATCGAAATTAATTTATATCTTCTAAACGGTAATAGATAGGTATAGGGAAATAGTATATGAATTTGTTGACAAAGTGATAGTGAATCATAATATAATATTATATACGGGGTGTTCCGCTTCGTCTAACACATCTCTGTATAACATCCCGCAAAATATCAAAAAATTCCATTAACATTAACAAAAAATTCCATAATATTTGAGAGTCGGAAGATATTCAATCATCTACCATTTGAAATGAAAAGTATAATAGAGTCAAAAACATTCCGAAAACGTGCGAAGGAACTTTTACTCGGGAAAACATATTATAGCATGGAAGAATATCTTGAAGACAGATTTTGAGTACTTGAACATTTCAGGTCGAACCGACTGATTTATTTATTTCATCTATACATGTGAATCATGTCTTAACTGCTTTGTAGAATCTTATGGCATGTCTACATGTAGTGTTAGAATCTATATTGTTCCATTGTTACTGTGAATTGTCCGTTTTTTTATTCTGTAGCGTTTATAAAAACCTAGTGTACTTTTCATTTAATTTTTATTTCACCGAAGGTAATCCTAGTTGATTTTAAAGAAAGTTTCCTGAGGAGTAGGCAATCCAATTTACACCTTTTGCCTCGCTAAGATTTTCACTTCCCTATACTCATATGATAATTAGTTTCTGGTACAGATTGATAAGTTTTTCTTTCTAATAGGGCCGGTTCATTCGGATCCCTCCGAGGTAGATTTTCTATTTTTGTTAAACCGAAAGTCAGGAATGAAGTGTTGCCAAAATTATTTGGGTGAATTCCTCAGAATAGACTTGCGTGGTAGGTGATCCTTGATCATGAGAACGGCAAGGAACTGTGCCATTTTGGAAAGGAGAGTGATGGACGAGATTCTCGAGAAGGGATTTGTTTAGTGGTGAGCCGTGTGATCCAATTTCAAGAATTTGAACGATATTGTTTCGGATATAGTTTCATATATAGATTTTGAGAGTTCCATAAAAGGTTGCACTTCCTGAGGATTCTACTGGGTCACAACCACTTTTCTAGAACGAGCGACGCCATTTCTTTGAAAACGTTATTCGTGATTTTTTTGGTTAACGGAACCCTTCGTTTAGGAAGTTATGAAAATTCATTTCGATCCTTTCAATTGCATATGAGATTCACCTTTTAGTGAATCGAACTTTTGAATGAATTTCCATTATGGAAATTGTTTTAGTATTGGAGACTTTTCGCAATAGTTTTTCTGCAGAAGAGCTTCTACAGAACTTGTTTGAAATCATTAAAGGGGGAAGAATAAGGGCTTCTATCCCTGATTGCCTTACAGAATAGATTTTCAGTAAATTTACTGAATGGTGGGTTTTTCATTCGTCCAGTTCGATAAATGTCATTGTCCACGTCCACAAGATAGTCTAAGTCCATTTTATCAATTAGAAAAGTACGTGCTCCAAGTCTATCCCGTTCCTGGTCGAAGAAAACTGCAACTACAGCTCGACGAAAACTAACAGGCAATTACTTACTTACACTTGACTCATTTTTCCGAAAATAACTACTTTTTGCATTAGAAATACTGATTTATTGACATGATATAATTATTGAATTGAGTTGATCCATTCATAATGTAAACCTGAACTGAGTATACTCTGGTGAGGTAATTTCTTACACCATTCCTAATAATTATTTTTTTCTATGACATGAATCTTATAAGTAATACTTTTCCTGATATTTTTACCTGGACTATCCTTAGGTAATGAAAGCGTACGATCATTACTGAGTTATTACAATTTGTTTTACACATGATTAAATGACAAATATGGAGCACTGTCAGATTTTGATTTCTACCCTTATTCAATTTACCACCCATTATTTTGTGAAGATCAATTATCTTCAGAATATCTGATTTTTATAGATTCACTTCATTGCTGTGATTTAAAGAACTCAATTTAGCTGGATTTGGTTCCACAGTCGGCCAGGTCATGTGTCATTTATTTTATAGGCTGTGTGGCGCCCAACTTAGATTTTTATAAAAGTAATTATTCAATTGCTGAAATTTCAGGAGACTGAAAAGTTTTTTGAATGAAACCCATAGTGCATACCGACGAAGAGCTGCCGTACGCATTGTGCCTATCTTTCGATAAGCTCACGATTTATTTAAGCTTTGTTAATAAGAATTTTTCTCTTTGACAATAAAGTACATTTTTGATTGATTGATTGATTGACCACTTGTCGTTGGTGTCCAGATCATCCAATTTAGGCCACAAGAAGTTGGTCATGGATCATCGACCTATATTGCTCGCCGTTGAAAGTGGTGGCCCGACCAACGTCGTTCTCAAAGAAATATGAACTGATGACGCCGCCAGCCCAAAATCCATACCAAACAGTGACTTTTTCAGGATACGTTGGACGCTCTTAGATCTCATGTAGATTGGTATGGTCCCAGATTCGACAATTTTGTTTGTTCACATACCCATTCTTCCAGAAATGAGCCTCATCGCTGAGAATGATTGTTTGATGAAAATTAGGGTAAGTTGCCAACTGCTCCAGAGCCCATTCAGCAAACACACGTCGTTGTCTATAGTCTATCACCTTCAGTTTCTGAGTCTATTAAATTTTGTATAGGTGCAGGCCCAAGTCACAACGCAAAGTTCGCTAAGCGTCTGCGAAAGATCGAGTTCTTATGAGCGATGGAAAATCGTTTGCCTCGGATTCACCTGCACACTCTCACAGACAGCGACGATGTTTTCGGTGTTGATCGATCGTTTGTGGACTCAAATTTATCCGCTTCGTTCTGAATAGTCTCTCGGGCGATATCGCTAGGACGATTATAGCGACCGTAACATTGGCGAAGTGCGCGGTACGTTGCTCGGAACAGAACACACATTTTGATAAAACAATTTAATTGTTTGCACGTGTTGTTGAATGCAAAATCTTCTATCTCACGAACTAATAGTCCG